TAAGATTACAAAATTATATTTAATAAATTTATTAGTATATGTTATAAATTGAGATGGAAAAGGCAGTATACATGTATCCGGGGGTGGATCTGCTTTGAAAAGCGGCCCATTTTGAAACAAGTTGGTTTGGGCATGATGCGTTTATCTTGTGTATCAAAGAAGGATGGCTTATTTTCAAGGAAAAATGTCAACCAAAAATCTCTGGAGAAAATGCATATTAGTCAAGAATAAATATTTTAAAAATTTTTTATTGCAGTACTTTAATCCTCAAATAAAATTATGAAAAAAAAATTATCCTTAAAGTTTAAAATTTAAAAACCACCCCCCACTATCGCTAGTGTCAACTACCAAAAACTTTAATAGTCGTGAGGTCGTTGAATCTTCAACTCTAATAATACTTTTATTTAAAAATAATTAATAAAGGTGATTAAGAAAATGTTTGATCTTATAACTTTTTAATTATTTAAAAAGTTTGGTGGCCTAAAAAAAGATATGAAATAAAAGACTAAAGTTAAGAACAGGAGGAACTAAATAATATCCAATAAGGCACTTTAGCTTTAGAAGGCTACAACTTCAGTATGCCTGTGCCAAGGTGATGTTAGAATGGCCACCAAGCCAATTTAATTATATATAGTAAAAAAATATAAGTAGTAATTTAAACTTCAAAACTACTTTCATATTTTAACATACAAGTGTGTTATTAATTTATAAACGACACTTGTTATTTTATTAATATTATTTATTAATTTGATATAGATAATTATAAATTAAAAGTTTTAAAACTTCATACATTTTATTTGTTAAAAACATAAGTGTATTGTTGTTAATCATGAATAATTATTATCAAAAATTGAATAAATATTTGTTGATAAACGATTGACACATACAATCAAACATATTCTATTAGTTTTCTAACTTATTTAAATTTGAATGGGTTGTTGTTAATTTTAAATGAGACTTAAATGGATACTTATTTATAAATGACTAATATTTATACAATTAAGCTCATCTTATTCATTTTTTTAAGTTGTTAAAGCTTGAATGGAGTGTTATTAACTTCGAATGAGTTGTTGTTAAAATCCAAATAAATACTTGTTGATGAAAGATTAATATGTACAGTCATGCCCATCATATCTATTTTTCTAGCTTGTCAAAATTTGAATGGATTATTGTTAATTTTAAATAAGTTATTGTCAAAACCTGAATAAATATTTAATATTGATAATTGAAAGCATAAGTCTAATGGAACAAGTGTAAAAATAACAAGTCATTCAGGTTTTGACAATAAATACATTCAAAATTAACAACAATTTATTCAAGTTTTAACAAATTAAAAAAAATAGATAGGATGGGTTTAATTGTACAAGTGATAGTTTTTCATCAACAAGTATTTATTTAGATTTTGACAATAACTCATTCGAAATTAACAATAATCAATTCAAGTTTTTACAAGTTAAACAAATTGATAAAATGGTCTTAATTGTATGTGTTAATCCTTCATTAATAAATATCTATTTAAATTTTAACAACAATTTATTTATAATTAATGACAATACATTTAGACTTTTAACAAGTATAAAGCATAAAGTTTTAAAGCTCTAAATTTGCAATTATTCATGTCAAATTAACAATTAATATTAATAAAATAACAAATATCGTTTAGGAGTTAACAATCCACCATTATGTTATAATGTGGAAGTGATTTAGAAGTTCATATTACTATTTATATTCTATCGCCAAATATAATTAAATGGGCTTAGTGGCCACCAACTTTTTAGATGGTCAAGAAGTTATAGAATCAAACCCTCCCTTAGTTATATTTAACAATTATTCTTGAATAAAAATTGTTACTGGCATTGGAGACCTTGCTGCTGATAGGGTCTCCAGCGATAATCTGGTGGCTTGCACCGATGATAGTGGGGGTGGCTTTTTTATTTTAAACTTTAGAAGTAATTTGGCCATTTTGTGCAAAACATTAATTTCACTTGAGAACTAAGAATAGTGAAAATTCAAAATCTTTTGGTCCTTAATTGATATAGATTTCCTCTAGTGATTCTTAGTTGATATTTTCATCATTTTCAACCACAAAAAAAAAAGGATGGCTTATTGTATATAAAAAAAAAGGTTGGCTCGTTCTGCCCTTTGTCCTTCTATTTTTAAATATGATCATAAAGATTTTACAGTGACTAATATGTACATAAACTTTATTATTTTTTGTGCTAACTTAATAAAATTTATGATGGGTTTATGAAAAAATGAGTAGGAGGCAAAAAAATAAAGGACATTAAATTAGAATTTTTAAATATGCAATAGATGAAACTTCGTAAGGAAGAAAACATGACGATTAGGACAGGCAAATAGAAAGGTCAATGGTTAGTTTGCTAATACAATTTTCAATTCATTATAATTTTATCAGCTCAACAATGGAATTAATAGAGTAATGTACACATTAGGAGATTTAATTATGTTAATGACAATAAAGATTAATATTGTAGACAAAAAAAACTTAAGGGGCTAGAGCAACGGAAAATATAGAGATTCATCATTAATACCAACACATGTTATAAGTATGAGGACGAAAAATTATATTTTTCCAATATAAAATAAAACGCTTCTGATTTATTCTATTTTTCTTTTTTCAGTCTCACTCTCCTCATTCATTGTGAAGTGAAATGCGTTGCAATATTTGGTGGATGTATCTGTGATGCTCTTTCTGTATCTGACTTAGCTCATGATACTGGTTCTCATTTTGGAGGTCTTTAATCATCTATAATTATTTTAAGATAATAATTTTTTATTCTTGATTATCGATTTAACTTCTCAAGTTAATTCTTATCAATTTTATCTCTTGTATGAATTATCGGTTTGATCTTTAATGTAATTATTTTTGTAGGGAAAAAAAGAAAATGGACTCAAAAATTTAAAAACAAAAAAATAAGATAAGGACACAAGAAGATAAAAAATGAGAAAAAAATGAAAAATAGATATAAAAAAATTTATTTCGTTTTTATTTAGTTACATTATGTCAAGTTGTCAATATACTTTATACATCAAATTAATTTGAAGGCCAATTTATATTTTAAAATTTAAAGGACCAATATTATAATTTAAGAAAATGTAATGAATTAAATTAATAAAAATAAAAGTTGAAAGATCAAATTAATAATTAAGAAAAAATTGAGGGCTTAAAATTTTCGTTGACCTATTCATTTTTGAATGAAACTATCCATTTCCATTTAAAAAAAATTGTGGGTGTATATAATTCTAAGATTCAAAAAACTTAATGGAATTGGTTCCTCTATTTTTAGTGTTGTTTTAGTCTCTATACTTTTTTTCATACTTTTTTTTTCGTTGCTCTAAACCCCTTCAATTTTAGAATGAATTACATACAAGTTCATAAATTCAATCATCAATAAACTTAGAAGTAATTAATTATATTGAACGGGGTTTTAAAGTAATTTTTCTAAATTTTATCTGCAATGTTAGTTATTATCATCACTAACGTAGTTAAATCTACTTATGTATATATGGCTTTGTTAATTTTGTTATTAAATTGGTAAAATTATGATGAGTTGAAAATTATATAAACAAAATAATTACTAATATTTTTTGTTTCTTTACCCTAACTATCATGTCTTTTTCCTTATGAAGTTTAATCATTTAAGCATTTAAAGATTATGATTTAATATCCTACTTGTTTATTTTGCCTTCCACTCATTTTCTAAACAACTCATCATAATATTAACAAATCACATGATAAGTAACAGACGATGTATACATTACCAACTGTTAAATCCTTATAATTAAATTTAAAAATATGCAGACTAACATTTTAAACTGATGAAATTTACGAAACAAAATGAAGTAGCACGGTATGAAACGGTTTTGGGAAGCTCCAAGGGTAAACTTCGAAGGAATGAAGACAAACAAATGCAGCAAGCTCTATTGCGGGTTTCTATCCACTACCCTTCGTTTGATTGGAGATTTTTGGATAGAAGATAAAGGAAACTCCTTGTCCTCCTTCGCTCCAAACTTGGGTGCTTTTAGAGAGAGGGTATTATTTTAACTATTTCCTCCTCTCTCTCCTTCCTAATCAAACAACAACAACAACAACAACAAGCCTTTATCCCACTAAGTGGGGTTGGCTACATGGATTGCAAGACGCCATTGTGCTCTATCATTTATCAAGCTTTTAGGAATATTATTAATTAAGAAATCACGTTCAACAACTTCCAAGAGTGTTCTCTTAGGCCTTCCTCTACCTCTCTTAATCGGACTCAAAGTTATATGTTCCACTCCTTACTGGTGCCTCCCTTGATCTTTTTTGTACATGCCCAAACCATCTCAACCGATTTTCCACCATTTTTTACTCAATAGGTGCCATCTTCACTTTTTCGCGTACGTGCTCATTTCGAATTTTATCTTTACGTGTATGTCCGCACATCCATCGTAACATTCTCATCTCTACTACTCCAACTTTATGCTCTTGCTGTCTCGTTAGAGCCCAACATTCACTACTATATAACATTGCCGGTCTGATAGCAGTGAGATAAAACTTTCCTTTAAGTTTATTAGGCACCTTACGGTCACAAATAACTTCTTTAGCTTTTCTCCAATTAAACCACCCAGCTTGAATTCTATGTGAAATATCTCCACTGATTTCGCCATCATTTTGAATAATGGCTCCCAAATATCTAAACTTTTCCACTTGAGATATAATTTGATCTCCCAATTTCACTTCCAAATTATTGTTGAATAATCCTTTACCAAATTTACAATATAAATATTCCGTCTTACTTCCTAATCAAACAAAAAATTATTAAAACCTTTCCTTCCTCTCCTCCCCCCTTAATCAAACAATGAATCAATAAAACCCTCCTCCCCTTTCATTGAACCAAACAAGGGGATTAGAGTTTGGAAACAGCCCCAGGCAGAAAAACAAAAAAGAGGTACTTATTCTTCTAATTTAGCTTTGATTGTCATAAATTCCAAATCCTATATAAATTAAATAGGGCAAGACAATTTTGCACATAATTTCCGAGTCTGGGAGTTACCATCTTCATCTCCTGAAACAGAAAGGAAAAAAATTGAGGGCTTGATTTGAAATTGAACCCAAACATCGCACATGGGACCCTGACTCCCTCAGCTTAGTCATTGAAAGCAGCAGTGTAAACAAATGGTCTCAAACAAAATTTGATAATTTAACAACATGGATCAAAGTCAATTCCTAGACTTCTTTCTGGACTTAGACGAAGGCTTAGTTTGCTCAGAGGCAGCATTATGTGCAGCTCCTTTGGAGCCACCTGCCTGGTGTGATTTTGGATTTGAGTTGTTGGAAGATGCTCCAGATTCCTGCTTGTCTCTACTCACAGAGCCCTGAGAGCCTCTCACTTGAGCAGCTCTCTTGTCCTTTCTCTTGGGCCTATAGCTTGATCTCTCTCGCTTGGGAAGCCACCTTTCTGGATCTGGAGGAGGACCTGGGTTTGCAGGGTCAAACCCTTAGGGTACCTTGGCTTTCTCTTTCTCTTTTCTTAGCTTTTGTCTTGTTCTTTCCTTCCTCGCGAGTTTCAACCGCACTGACGTTAATAGAACCCTCGACATGTTTTGCTCCAGAAGTCTTCTCCAAGGTATCTACATTAATACCCTTCAAACCAGGCAATGGCTTTAATTGCTTTTCATAAAGTTCTGCCTTGTTAACATCCATGCGGGCAACTGTTGTTACCAGCCCAACTAGTGCTTCTATGCTTCCTTGGCTTTTCACAAGCTCTTCATACAGGCCAGCGGCTTCCTCCTCCTTACCATGTCTAATCTTGAATGAAGCAGCCTCTTGCATAATAATGTCAAGCTTATTGTCCTCTGTCATGGCATTAGACCACCATTTGATCGCAGAGTCAAGCACTGCAGCTGCACCATCAATGTCACCAGCACGCTCTTTTAGAGAGACAAGGGTGGCAACAGTGGCAGGCTTGTGCTGGATATCCGATATCCTAGCCAGAGAATGCTGCGATATGAGGGTGGCCAGCAGCTGCAGCCACCTGAGCCTTGCTAAGTAAGCAACTTTGGACTTCTCAGGGAACTTATCAGCAACTGCGCTAGTATTTCCTCAGCCCTTCCCGCTCTGTTTTCTCTTACCAGCAATGCAGCTTGGAGTAATATGGGCACTACACTGTCAGGAAACATGTCTGGTAGTCCAGAGACGAGTTCTCGGGCCTATAATCACAACAATCATCAGAAAGATGCTTACATGCCAAATAGCTTGTCAACCAATTTTGAAATAAAATAAATGTGGGCACATTTTTAATTAGTCAGGTAGGGTGACTGAAGACAATGCAAAGAAATTAGAAGACACAGACAGGAAAAAGAAAAGAAAAGAAAACTAACCTGGTCCAACTTTTGGCATGAAGAAAAAGCAGGACACGATTTGTGTATATGGCTTCCCTTTGTTTGGCTGAAATTTCAAGTCCAGTCCATGAGCAATCTGAAAGCTCGGTGTCTCTTTCTCTTTAAGCCGATCAAGTTTCTTTAGGCTGTCAGAAACATCTTTTGGACCTTTCAATGAAAAAGGTTGTTCACTGCCACAGCAATTGATGATTCATCGGCCAGATCTCGTTTAATTATGTCTGTGTAACCTTCCACAGCATCTTGCTTACGCCCAAGAAGCTGTTCAAACATCATGCTTGATAAATTAGTGGCCCTTGAGAACTAACAATGTTTCCTTAAGTGAAATAATAAGTATGGAAATTTCAGAATTTTTACCTGCTGGACATAGGCCAATTGCACAGCTATAGGAGACAACTCAATTTCTATTGCGTCGTCAGTTGCGTTATCTTCCATAAGTGTCTCTTGACCAATTCTGACACAACACACATAACATAAATATTAGCTTATGTAGGGGGCAAGTTTCAGGGTAATAAGTTTAATATGCTCATGAGAAGACATAGCATTGAAGATGAAAAACTGATTAGCAAAACAACAGGGTGAAAACTAAAGTCTAAGAAACAAAATAATAAACAATAAAAATTTATCTTATCTCTCATGCTTCATTCCGCAAACCCATACCAGCATATACAAAAGCAAAAAAAAAAAAATATCTACACAAAAAAGAGTCACTGCCAAATGTAGAAACTTAAGGGAACCCAGAATTTTATTTTGCGGGTTAAAAAGTTTGCATAAATTTAATCTGCATATTATCTTAAACTATATGATATGAAAAGAGTAAATAAATAAAGAATATCTCTACAAAATTTACATATTCAACTCATTGCTGCCAGAAGTTAGATTGCCATATCCAAATCTAATCTTCAAACCATCATCATGGTGTCACGCCTCCAAACATTGCTTATCTATCGAAGATCATTACTAGACAGTAGACACTGCTACACTTGCTATCACAGCCAACCCTGGGATCTTCTATTTACATCTTACTTCCTTGAAACCATCATCAATTCTCTCTCCGAAAGAGAGTGTCCTTCAAATGAGGGGAGAAATAACAGGATACGGAATTAATTAGATTTGAAATTTTTATTTTATTAGAATGACTTTAGGATTTGATTTGAATAAATATAATCTTTTAGATTACTAGGTTATCTTTTAAATATTAGAATATTTGCATTTAATTATTAGGATTATAGAATATTATGCTTTTAATACTTTTATTTCTTGGGTTAGGTTAAGGCTTATAAATAATGGCTTAACGTATTTGCTTTGTAAGCCTTTTGAATGAATAATAATTGATATTGATTTGCTTCTCCTCTTCTTCTGTCTCAACCCTTTTCTGTCTCTACTCTCTCTTTCTCTATTCCTTCCTCTTCTCTCTTCTCTACCTTCTTTTTGTCTCTACCCCTCTTCCATCTTTACTCTCTTCATTCTTTTTCTCTTCTCTCTTCCCCCTCCCCCATCTTATTTATAAGTTTATTCAATGCACCCTTGACCACATTGGCACAAATGTGTATATAAACCAACTGAAGAGGGAACAAAAAAAGAGCAGTTATTATGCCAAGTTTAATTTCCCACATTTTAAACCTGCTATTTATTATGATTTCTACAATTAAAAAGGGCCTCACCTTCGAGCTGACAGCAAGAGTTGCTCTGCATCAGTGTGCTTATTCATTTCAATTAAAGAACAAGAAGTGTTGTATGCCAGCTCAAAGCTACTAGTTGGCTTAACCCGAAGCAAATCCAAAGCTCCTTGAACTTCAGATGCCCTTCCAGCCATGACTAGGCCAGCAACAGAATTATTTCCAAGTTGTCAATCTTGGATTTATAAAGCTTCTGGTAATTATCCACACAAGCATCCATTTTCCCTAGACGATACAAAATCTGGGATTCTAGGAGCATGGTTTTCATCACTTTTCTCTTGTCTTTTCAGAGACTCCAAGGCTTCATTTAACTTGTTTTGTCTGTATAAGCAGTATGCCTATTTAGAAACAGCAAAAGGGAAACAACAATATCAATTGGTAATCATTGTTCCATTTGAGCACACACAAGCTGCATCCACACAATGAATTTCCAAAAACTAAACCATTGAGAAATACATCCATGTTTAAACATATAAATGTTTCAAAAGAAAATGATGCTTGCATGCATGCATATATACATAATACATGCATGCGCGTATATCGGCATAGTAAATGGTCCTGCTGATCAAGTTGATAAGCTTGAATAAGAGCAACACATTCACTGATCCACTAAAGAGAAATAAGCACCCCCTTCATCTCTTCCAAAAATTCAAGCACTGGTATACATTTATGTCACTGGTAAACAAATAATAAGTAGCCCATGGATTACAGCATAGCCTAAATAAATCAAGAGGCCAGTGGCAAATGGTGGCAGCCAACAAAGAAGAAATGAAAAAGTGTCTTCCAAATTTATACATACCAGATTGCACTTCCCATTTCATCCAATATTATGCCTAACATCAGTTGCGGAGCCACATTAGCTTGAGGGGGAGCAAAATGCACCCCTCACATTGGGAAAAAAATACAAATGGATGTGTAAATTTTAGAACTTTGCACCCCCTATTTTTGATATTTTGCACCCTCTAAACCAAATAAAAAATATTTGGCTTAAAAACTTATTAGATATATAATATTTTAATGATCTAGATAAGATATGAAGAGTATCTTTATAATAAAAGACCATATCAACATGTACAATATAATTTTTTAAAATAAAAAATGACAATCAATCTATTTATATAATTACAATTTTAGTCCTAGCATGATTATTATTTTTAAAAAATATTATTTTTTCATTAAATTATTCTGCATTCTCAGGCTCCAGGTCTTGGCTCCACCACTGCCTAACATGCTTCATGCCTTCTCCATTCAATCACCTACACTACTTGTTTCTTCAAGAGAATATGAAAAGAAGATAATTATATGATTTTGAGTATAAAAGGATGAAATCCAAGGAATATTATGCATTTATAATGCTCACAATTGTAGCTTAAACTACAAGTTTTCTGTTGTACTGCACGTATTACAGCCTTTTAATTTTTAAAGGGCAAAAGAAAAGGAATTGGCAACAAAGAATTCATCTAGAATATCCACAGTTCACATAATATCGTACTAGGAATGTAATCTATAAACGATTGGCCTGGTAGAGCCAAAATTAGTTCAATAAAAACGCCCGTGAAGCTTATCAATATATGTTTATTAGCTGATAGTTGACCTCCTAAGTTGTCCTACACTAAAGATTCTTCCAAATTTCCAATTTTTTTAAAATCATATCTCATCCTCAAACCCTAATTACACACGCTATCTTGTATGCAAACAAACCAAAATTCACAAAGCTATGGTAGCTATACTATGTCAATATTACTCAATCTATGAGACACAAAGTAGAGGAAAAGAATTTCATGTTAAGATTAACAACAAGCATATCCTTTTTTTCATTTATTGATGCAGCTAACTAGAGTGTATAGAGAACACATCTCAATGCTAATTCTGCATAACAGTGGAGAAATATAGCCATGGGTAAGGGACAACAAAATATCCACTTAACTTGCCAAGACCAAAAAGCATTTGATTCTGATATTTATATTAAATACGAAATCAAATTTGAGTTAAGTTCAACTCAAGCATCCCAAAACTCAGCCTTTAAAAGTCTGTATAACATTGATTATTGAGAAATTCCAGCTGATTTCCTTGATAAAATCATCGCACTCCCTCACGGCCTCATGGATTAAATTTCTCCATGCAGCAGCCAAGCTTGGTCACAAACAAGCACAACTTGATAAATAATCGAGTTTCTACCCACAGCAAAAGTCAATTTGTGAACCGAAACACTACAAAGGAAGTCGAAATTACATACTTTAAGGAAATTGAAATCAGCCGGCGACCTCCGAGAAGATTGAATCGTGGAGAGTGCCTCTTGAAAGCCATCAGGTTTATCAGTTTTGATCAGTGCCACAACTTTGCATCGAAGAGCATCCTCGTCGCCAGGTGCAATCGAGAGAACTGGAATGAGTTTCAGACATCAAAAACAAAGGCGAATGATACAGAAAGTGAGAGAGGTAGGGATGGAATACAAATCAACAAAATTGAAAAGCATAGTAAGCGCGGAACGAACTTTGATCTGCAACTTTAACAGCATTCTTGTAGGCGGAACTGTGTATGTGCCTGTTAAGCGTGGTGAATAGATCTTCGATCGGAGGGGGAGGCTGTGACGCCGGTGAAGCAGGTTTCGACTTATCCTTCGACTTCGGAGCCATAGATTCACTCCGCCAGAAGACCAAATCTTTTCTCGCTCGCCAAACAGGCTATGGTGTTAGATCTTCAGCAAACGACGTTCGTCCCCTTCACCATCCAGGGATCTTTGCCCTTTCCGGATTTCCCAGTGCTCCATTCCCTCACCGGACTGCCAAAACCATAACTGGGCCCAAGTCTAAATGCACTGGGCCTTTGAAGTCATTATTGGCCCAAATTCTCAACTTTTGTGTAGTCAATAAACTTCCGACCCAAATGTGGCTCACCGACCGTTATTCAATCTCGTTGCGCGTTAGCTTTCACTTTATTTGTTTTTTGGACCGACAGTCGCCAGCCTGCACTTGGTAATGTTAAATTAAATTATAAAAAGAAAAGTTTAAATACATTTTCCCCTTATAATTTCCTTTTAGAGTGGTGGACACCTTATATTAATAAGTAAAATATTTTTTTAAATTATTTTTTAATTGAGCAAAATTCTCCTCCATTAATGAATTGTTAATAGAAAATGAGATCTCAAAAAATAATAATGAGGTATACAAATAACAATGAAATTTTGAAAAATATCACAATTCTTCTCAAATTTTTGGAGATTTTTTTAACATTGATATTTTTTTGTGAAATAACCAAAACACTCTCAGTTTAAAATTAAAAAAATATTAGTAACTACTTTAATTTAAGCATTAACTATTTTTCTTTTGATAATAATTAGAATGGAATAAGCAATTATAACTTCATTGTGCAAACTTTTCTTTTGGCAATGATCAGAATGAAATGAGTAATTATAAGTTTTCCTGTGGTAATTGTTTGTTCCACTATAGTCATTGTTTAAAAAAAATAATCATTACTTAAACTAAAGTAATTACACGTATTTACAACATTTGGACTCTACTAGATCAAAAATTTTTACTAAAAAAGTTATAATTATTTGTTTCATTTTAGTTATTATCAAAAGAAAAGTAGTCATTATGTGAATTAAAATAATCACTAATATTTATTTTTATTTTAAATTGAGGGTATTTTAGTTATTTTATAAAACTCATTAATGTTAGAGAGGTTACTTGAGAAAAAACATAAAAATTTTTTAGATTTCATTGTCATTTATATATTTTAGGGGGTTAAAGTGTATTTTTACTCTCATGTTTTCCTTTGAAAAGCACTTTGCCTCGTGCACTTGTAAATAAAATATTTTCTCCCCGAAACCATTTTTTCAAGGAAAAAAATCCCCCTCAATTAATTGATCACTATTAGTACAAGATCCTTGACATTCCTCAAAGAAAAATATAGAGAGAAAAATATAATTTTACCCTTATAAAAAATAGAAAAAACTAATCATTTCATCTTTATAATTTTAATTTAATTATAATTTAATCTTTAAATTTTTACTTAATATAACTTAATTTTTATCATTCTAACTATATTGTAAGTAAGTTTTTAAATTTTAGCTCTTTCAATTTAGTTATTATAATTTTAATCATTTAAAATATTATTTACTATATTTTTTAAAAATAAAATTATAAAGATTAAAATTATTTTAAAATTTTAATCTTTATGATCTGTATAAAAATTAAAAATATTTATTATTTTAAATATAAATTCTAAATTTTAGTATTATTTTAATTTTTATAATTTTATCCTTTAAAATATAAAAGTTAAAATTTAAAATAGTTAAAATTATAAAGGTTAAACTGCAAGGGTTAAAATTTATAAATTAAAATATAATTGATTTAAAATTATAAAAATTAAGTTATAATAAGTTAAAATTTAAAAATTATATTATAATTAAATTAAAATTATAAAATTAAATAATTAATTTTTTACAAATATAAGTAATATAATTTTTTTATCTAATTGTTAGAAAGGAAAAAGAGGAGAAGAAGACGTGAAGGATGGAAGAGAGAACCTTGTAAGGCCAGCTTTCGTCCAGCTTATTAGAAATTTATTCATTATTTAATATTTAATAATTTAATATTATTTTAAATTTATTTTTGGAATTTCCATATATACATTAATTTCAATTTAGTCATTTCACTTCGCCCGAAGCTAAACAAATTTCCCTCGCACTCGAAAGTTTTGTGACCGAGAAAAGACCAGAGAAAATGACGGGAAGTGAAGAAAACAGTGAGAAAATGGTCAAACAGAAGAGAGACAGAAGCCTACTCGCCTTCACCGGAGCTGCAGCTGTGCTTGCAATTGCCGTCAACCTTGGCATCACTGCCATCAAACACCAGAGGGAGAAAAATCGACGAAAAAAAGGTCCAATTATCTCTTACTTTCTTATCTTGGAGTTAAGCTGTCTGGTTTGTTTTGCTTTGTTGATCTAATGTGGTATACATATTTTTTTGGTGTAATTATATTTTAAGTGAATATATACTTGTTTCTGAAATCGCTTTGGGTAACGTTGTAGATCTTCCGGGCTCCAATGTGCGTATTAACCTATCAAAATCTGAGATTCTTAAGTTGGCAGACCAAATCATTGCGAAGTCAAAAGAGGTCCATGATGCTGTTGCTTCAGTCCCCCTCGACAAGGTATTCTTAACTGTTGCACTTCTTTATTTTGCTTGATGGTATTCATGAGGGAGCTTCTTCATGCACCGTTGGTGTTTTTGCATGTTATTTGTGGCTTGTTCTTATGGAGACCTTTAGAATATAATCCTCTTCAAATTTCTTGTTCGTGTATATTCCTAAGTTTCTCTCTATCTTGTCTTCATTGGTAAAATCATAACTCTGTCATTTCTGTTCGTTGATACCAACTCCCCCCCCCCCCGGCAAAAAAAAAAAAAAAATTTAGTCGTCACTGTAAATTGTTTTCTTAGGCTTGCTTAACTTAATTTAATGGTCAAAAACCGCAGGTTACATACATGAACGTTATATCACCTCTAGCAGAACTTGAAGCACATCAATTCCCGTTGATACAATCTTGTGTTTTTCCAAAGCTGGTATCCACTGTGGAGGATGTGCGCAAAGCTAGTGCAGAAGCAGAAAGAAAAATAGATGCTCATATGAACTTGTGCAGGTTTGGTTGATTAGTTTATTAGAAAAGAGGTGGTGGTAATGTTTAATTGTAATCTATAAAGAGAAGAAAAGCTATTCATTTTACTTTCTATAATGGCTTTCCCTACTATACTTGTTTTTTTTTTTTTTTTTTCACTAGAAGCAAAGAAAGGAAAACTTATGGTCTTATTATTTTGTTGTTTTCCTTGACTTATTCAATATGTGTCATTGCAAGATATTAAAAATTTAACTCTCTCTTTAATTCAAGGATTATAGAACTAAATATAATACTGTTCCGTGCAAGTGGATCAGCAAACGTGAAGATGTATATCTTGTTGTCAAAGCATTTGCAGCAAAGGGGGAGTGGATGAGTGCTGAAGCTAAATGCTTTGTTCAAATTCTGGTAAGACAATTTCTATTTGTAATCATAATTTTTTTGGGAGACTTTGTTTAGAAAATTAACTTTATTGTGCTACCTGTGTTTTGTTAAACTCAATTTAGTATATTTTAAAATGTTATCCATGTAAAAAACAAAATCCAGATCTTGATTCTTGCCTAATCAGTGACAGGTGAGAGACTTTGAGCGAAATGGAATGAACCTCACTGCAACCAAGAGAGAAGAGTTACTGCGTTTAAGAGCTCATATTGATGAATTAAGCTTAAGATATGTCCAAAATCTTAGCGATGATGGCAGTTTTCTTCTCTTCAATGAGTCAGAGTTAGCTGGTTTGCCTCCAGAGTTTCTCAAGGTTTAGTATGATTTTTCTTCCCTATTTCTGACAAAACTATTTAGTGACTCTAGAAGTTTAGACTTAAGGCCTGTTTCCCAAAATTTATTTTTTCCCCATTGAGATCCTTGGACCAAGTAAGATATTAAGCGAATGCTCACCTATCATGGTTGTTCAAACTTATGGCTTATAAAATTTGTTCATTGCAAGTATGGATGATAATATATACCCCTACAAAAGTTAATTATGAAATAACAAAGAACAAAGTATGGCAAAAGATCAAGGAAGCGGCAAAACTACCCAATCTCTTTGCATATTCAATAGAGACCTCTTGAAGGAACTCGGAGAAGACCGAAAGTGAATCCATAGACACTATTTTATTATACATTTATTGTAGAGGTAACAAAAGTATGAAAAATTTCAGCATTTCTCTTTAATTGAATGCACCAAAGCACTGCATAGACTCTGCAATACCTCAGAAATATCTTGTTCTTATCCGAACTTTTGTGCATTGTTGAGAAATCACTTCAAGGTCAGTAGGTGGATCCTTGTTCAGTTGGTCACCAATGACTCTGAACAGCTTACTACATAATAAGTCAGCCATCATATAATGCAAACAAAGGGCATGCAGCACTGCTGCTGATTCAAAATTAGACAGAAACATATATTTGGAGAATGCTTTGTTTGACTTTTGGTCCTTCGATTCTACATTAGTATTATTAAGTACAAATGACTTGAAGGAGCTTGGATTTCCAAATGTACCTGCTAAGTACAACTCTTGGTCTGACCCTATTAAGGGAATAAGACTAGGATGATTAAGAGTCTAAATTCTCCCCTTTAAATGGAAGAAAAATATGCTGTCTATGAAATTTGTTCTTCTTAAAAAATTCAAGCAGAATGGAAATTCCCAGAAAATTTTGAGTCTTTATGAAAAGAGGAAAGATTATAAAGTGAGTGATGGTTTCCGGCCCTCCAAAATAGAAACGTCACCTGGTTTGGTCTCCTCCAGGATCTTGTAGGAAGCTTATTTCCTTATCTTAAGTAAACAAGTGGTGTGTAAGTATCATAGGGTTGAGAAATATTTTTTATAGGGCAAGCATGAGTTGCATACCGCTATTGAATATTACATTAGCTTGTCACTCATTTCATAATGCAAACATACAATGACATCCTGATTAAACAAAGCAATGTTTGAGCACCAGGGTGAGATGATTAGAAGTTATACTCTGTGTTATCTTACCATTTTGGTAACACTCCTCAAACACTTTAAAAAAATCCTCCTTAATAATGTCACATTGGGAAAAAGTAAAAGTAAAAGTTGAAACCGTTGGAGCTTGGTGGTTTCTCGTTATTTATATCACAATCGGCTTTCCAAGCCTCCAAAATTTGTGGCCAAGTAGATACGATGTTAATAACTGATATAGAGCAGCAGCCCAACCTGTTGATAAACTGCCTGCTGGAAACTCCTCTTTATAAGTGTCAGGGTGGAGATAAACTATTCCCCTTATCAGCAATGGCTCAAATGACTGTGGTGAAATTGCACTGTCTTTTTTTTTACCTGCTGTAAATTGATGATATAACATAGACATGGATTATTTAGTTTGTCTGGGTAAGCTTTATACGATTATTTTATTTAATTCTGCTCAAAAGATCTATTACTGTATGCATTCATAAAATCAACAATGCTTTTTGACTAATTTTGTTTTGCGAACTTGGAATAAATTGATTCCATTACAGGCTTTAGATACATCTGAAAATGGAAAATTGAAGATCTTTTTGAGAAGTCATCATGTTTCAGCCGTACTTGAACTTTGCAGGGTATGTCATTTGAAGTATTAACATATGTTTGCATATTGCTTTGCCAACTGAGTACCATATTATGGTTGGGCACTATATTGATTTTTGTATCCCCTTGTACTACAAGGCGTGCGAGGTTCATGAACCTTATCTTTGATAAATTGGTATTTTGGTCTTTATAGTGGTCTGCCCTTTGGCATTGGTAAAATGTCTCATTGTTATTTTCCACGGGTATTTTCCTGGAAAGGACATACAGTTATAAGAAAAACAAGCTGCCTGGAAATAGATACAATGTATTGAACATTATTTCAAACTTGATTTTGCCAAAGGAATTGTTGTGCAGTTGATTATTTTTTATAATAATTTACCAAATGATTATCATTCTTAAACTTTTGTGTAGTACAAGATGAAACCTACAACTAATTCTGTTGAAAAATGTGAGTTGTAAAACAGTATTTGCCCACAGTAATGAAGGGATTGACTGAGAATAACTATATTGTCACTATAGATTTTTGAATTCATTACATGTGCACAAGCAGAAATATTAATTGTTTCTTTATATGATCCATTATGTCTATTGTTGTCGTGGTGATGGGTGCATCTTTTTGGTATATCACCATTTATGTTGAGAACTTTTACTTGCTACTTACATGATCGGTAATATTTCCTTGAGCTTGTGAAGGTAGGAACTACAAGGCAGATGGTAGCAAGGGCATATGGGAAGAGATGTGGAGAAGTCAATCTTTCGCTTCTGGAAAATCTGGTAATTTTTGCAAAGGGAATCAATCAGTATTAGGACTTCACTTTCTAATATCAAGGATGAGCTAATTGTGAGCCATGAACATTGGAGTTATTGGTTATTTGGCCCAAAGCTGGCTTTGTCGTGGGTCATCAATTTGTAAACAACTTTTGGTTATTGAAATTGTACTTAGACTGCTAATAGGTGTTTGGAAATAAAACGAACAAACCATAAACCAAAATCTTGTTTCATTGGGAGTTATTGATCTGCGAGCAACTTTTAGTTATTATACTTGCTCTACCAATACAAGAAAATGCTACAAAGTACTAAAACACCAGAAGCTGATTTTTTAGTAGGTCATTGAACATTGAGAGGTGTTGAGGGAACATTTATTTAACATTTATTTGCAAGCAACCCAACCCTTTGTTATTGTGTGACCAACTGTGGAATTTAGAGGTGTTGAAGGAAACTAAAGAAAATGTTTCTCTGTTTTTTCCCCTTATCATCCAAGGCATTATCTTTTGATACAAATAGAAGAGACTTGTGTTATGGTTGACTACATTCCAGTTATTCAATGCCTGATCTAATCCCAATAAAATAGGAAGTTAGAGACATCATAATCCTCTCTGATCTCTTTGGCAGATAAGTTACGATAAGATTTACTTAAAACAAATTAAACAATTAATCTTCAAATAATAACATTCTCTAATGTACACACGCATGCTCCCTATCTTTCTCCTCGCTAATTCTGCATGTAAGTGTATAATTCTATGTATGCTCTGATTCAAACATCTTATTCATGATTAGTAAGAAAATTGAGTTCTTTGGACAAAAGTTATAAATTATAAATGTGAATTTGTGAACTAGTATATCAGTCATTTTGATTAAGTTTTGAATTGCATTTGGTATTCGCATGAGCATATTATATTTAGGTGTTGAGTGTATGTGATCCTTGATTTTGTATTTGTTGTCTTGTTTCTTGCATTTTGATTTGATACATTTGTATAAACTTGTCTATGCATACTCTTTTGGTACGATTCAGGTGGAACAGCGACATAAATATGCTCGTTTACTTGGCTATTCAAACTATGCTGAATATGTTGTTGATATTAGGATGGCAAGGACACCTTCAAAGGTTTGTGAAGTTGTACTAGATATGCTGTAATCTGTTACAGTTAGAGGCTTATAAGCTGGATTTCTATTGGAAAATGTTTTTCTAATTAAAGTCAAAATAATTTCCCATCTGATTTTCTTGTCAAATAACTATATGGTAACTTGTATTACATTTCATTTTGGGATGCCTGTTCAGTGGGATGTGGTATGTGGAGATTGTGATATGAGCAGTTTGTTTTTCTAGTCTGGTTTGACTTTTGCCTTCAATTTATCTATGTTTGCATTTACATTTGGTGGGAAGAGGGGAGTAAAAATCAACAATGCATCTATAAAACATTGAGTCAGTCCAAAACATTTCTTGCTCTTATTTCTGCTATCTTTCTTCTCTTTCATTTCTACCTACTACCTAGTGCACTGATTAGATGAAAAAGTGGCATATGTAGTTATGTTGAATTGGAATACTCCCTTTAGTCCTATTCTTAAGAACTTTTAACTAAATCACACAGGTTAAGTCAGGTGGTTGAAATTAGTTAAGAGTCTAGATTTCTTTAAAGTTTACTATATTATTCCCATCCATAATTAAAACTATTAACTTCTACTTTTGAACCTTAAAGTCAAACATGCCACCCCAATGAACAAATTAGATATTTGGGCATTTTTGAAAATAATTCATTAATGCTTCACTAAATTTCGTAATGTATCTTATATTAAGGATCAAGCAAAACTTCTAGAAGATATATTAAGAACCAGAGGGAGTGTAATAAATATTCATGATCATTGGTAAAGTCATATTCTTTATAGGGTTAAAATGTATTGAGCCGATTTTCATCTCTGAATGTTAAGTACATGCTTGTTGGTGTTGGATGTTGTCAAAGGGTACCAAGTATCAATACTTATTACAAAATAACTTTAATACTAAGAAGTGAGTTTTGTAATAGAGTATATCTCTAATGCTTAAAAAGTTTCTAATTTATTGTACAAAAAGAAGTTAAACTGTCAAGATTGATAGTGAAGCATCTTTATGTGGGAGAACAAATGTGAGAGATAAATTCTTCCCATGTGTATTCTGTTTGAGTTGATTTCAAATGATTGCACTATGAGACATCTCTAATTCTAGGGGAAGACAATCTTGGCAAATTGTCTAGCTGAGAATGGAGTTACATTTTTTGGGCATGTTCTGAGGAAAATGTTATAGGAATTGGAGGCATTGTCTTCTTGTCACGATCATGTATTTTTCCCTTCACTTGTTCCATTAAGCTTTTTTGTTTGATGTCTAAATTTTATCCAGGTGTTTGAGTTCCTTGAAGGCATATCATCCAGTTTAGATGACTTGGCCATGAAGGAACTTGATTTGTTGAAAAATATGAAGGTTTGTACATTTTTTGGTATCTTCTGTGGTTTTATACCTTCTGATTACAAGTTTATTGTCTTTTCAGAAGAAAGAGGAAGGAGAGCGTCCGTTTGGAATTGAGGATTTATTGTTTTATGTAAAACGAGTTGAAGAGCAGAATTATACTCTGGATTTTGGCGAGCTCAAACAATACTTTCCAATTAGTTTAGTGCTATCTGGGATCTTCAAAATTCTCCAAGATATATTTGGTATCATTATATCTGATAATCTTTTCGTCTTTTTGTATTTTGTTGCCCTGACCATCAGATTTTCATTTGACGCAGTAACTAGAGTTCTAACAAGTTTTAAGATATATTGATTACTTTTTTCAGTTCAGTACAAGTTATGCTGATTTTCATTCTTGTTATTTCCCACACAGGTTTAAGATTTGAGGAAATTGTAGGTGCTGAGGTTTGGCATTCTGATGTTTGTGTTTTCTCAGTCCTTGATTTAGGTTCTGGTGAACTATTGGGTTATTGCTACCTTGATTTGTACTCAAGGTTTTTTCCTCACTACCTCGTATTTCAGTGTTTCAGTTATTTATGTTTGCTAGCAGAAGTTGGAAAAGTGGTTGAATTTTTTAACTATAACAGGGAAGGTAAATATGGCCATACTTGTGTGGTGGCTTTTCAAAACAATGCATCAAAAATCAGTGCGGCACATCAGGTTATTTTTTTGCTTAGCATTTGTTTTTCTAATATTCTGATTCAAAGAATGGTTTAGATGTTAGAGTTGTCTATTTTTTCCCCTCTAAACATTTGCTTGTGGTAATGAATTATTTACATGCCTTATTTCTATCACTGCTTTTACTGATTTACTTGTGATTGAACGTGGCAATCAGGAGCTGAAGCAAGGATCTTTGTCTTAGACCCTACTAGAATTTCAATTAACATGAACAATCCTCATATCTCTTGCTCTGAAAGAAAGATAAAACTTCTAATTGAGAAATTTCCTGCATAAATAATTTTATGCATGGGTGATTATGATTCATGTGATGTATTTATGATCTGTTGTTTTGTTTTCAACTTATAATTACACTAACATACTTTTCATGCAAATTTGCTGAATGTCCAAGTGAGGTGTCGTTTAATTATTTATTTCAAAACATTGAATCTTGACAATTGCATGGATAAAAATATTATCATTCTGTCTCTCTTAAAAGTTATCCCTGCTGTTATGTTTTTCTGTATGTAGGTTCCAGTTGCATTAATGATCTGTCAGTGTCAAAAGGGTCTTGGCAGTAATTCTGGATTGTTGCGATTTTCTGAAGTGGTCAGTCTTTTCCATGAGTTTGGCCATGTGGTATGTTTGCTTTCATCTTAAATGGTTCCTTAATCTGAGTTGTTTCGTTTACTATGTTTATCTTATCGTCATTTTGATTTCCTTTTCTGGGGAAAAAAGGAAGAGAATAAAAAATTGCTGAATGGGAGACCCTGAGACATCCTACTCTTGGTACTTTAACATTTTTCCTTATTATTGTAGTAACTCAAGCTACAATAGAGAAGGGTAGATTGGTGTTTATTGCTGCAGTAAATGCTTTAATCTAATGACATCTTTCTTACTTAACTGCTTTTTTGGCTATTAAAGAGAGCATTTCTTATCTAGTTGTTAGGCCTTTATCTGTTTGTCAGGCAGTTAGGCCTTTAATATTAATTTTTTCTGATCTTGTATTTCATTCAAGAAAAATTGATCTTAATTTTAAATTTGTATCAGCTATTTCCTTGTGATTTTGGATGTTGAACATTGCTCTTCAACCCTATTTTTACTCAAACCATATTCCGCTTTCAATGAATTAGAATCAGAGCATTATTAAACTTGTAGTCTTCATAGATTGTACTTCCAATTATGTGTTTTGTGCACATTTTTTTCTTATGGAATCTTTTTAAATAAATTGTTAGGTTCAACAAATCTGCAATCGTGCATCCTTTTCTAGACTTTCTGGGCTGCGTGTTGATCCTGACTTTGTGGAAATTCCTGCTCAGGTGCTAGAAAATTGGTAATCAATCACTCAATCAATATTTCTTCACTGGTTTTTTTTTTTCTTTTTTTAAATCTCCACTGGGTATTTGTTGACCCAAGTTCATTCTTCATGCTTGTGAAAAACTGTAGGTGTTTTGAAAGCTCTTCTTTGAAGTTGATTACTGGATTCCATCAGGTGAGTTTTGCTATCAGTTTCCTGCATGATTTAGCCTTTAATTATTTTGGTCCCCTCTACCTGAAATGAGTAATAATAGTTGCTGATCACTTTAGAGGCATGCCATTCTCACTATCCAGTGTGTCTGATTTATCTGGGGCCAGCTGCACCAGAAATCTTGTCTCCAACACCGCATTCTTAATTGCATGACTATGAAACAGTTTGCAACTACCATTAATAATCTGAAATGGGTCTAATAAATACTACTTTTGATCACACTCTCAACTTATTAATTGTTACATTGATTTAATGAGTTGCAGGATATTACAAGGCCCTTAAAGGAAGGCATGTGTAAATCAATTAAAAGATGGAGGAACTCTTTTTCTGCACTCAAATTGAAGCAAGAGATTCTTTACTGTATGTTATATTTTTTCACGTCTTGGAATTAAACTTCATATTTGATATTACTATCTTATGTATTTAATTGTGCAATTGATCATTAATGTTTTTATTAGAAGTAATAGTTGATTGGAAATGTATCGTTAATTTTAGGTGGTACTTCTGTTGCCTCTGTTATAGCACTAATATCATAATAAAATGTAGCGAATTTGAGGCAAGGAATGCTTTGAATGTTTTGATTTTTTCCTCAAAGTAGTTTATACTTCTCCAAGTTTAACTGCCAAGGACAAACCAAATGGTTTAAAAAAATTCTTCATTCAGTGATAAAATTTCTGAAGTAAAATGTCTGGGATGTAAATGAATCGAATCTTATTGGCATACAGAAAGGTAGCTTAAACAAATATTCTGATGCGAGAATGTTACCACTGAAGGAAATGAGGAAGCTACATTGAGAAGTATATTGAACGCTCTTGTTTAAGGGAGAGACCCTGAAACTCCTTAAGATCATCAGATAACTACTTGTTGATCCTTCTAAAGACTTAGCTACTGATTTATGCCACTTCCCTTTAGTAGAATTCAAGGGTGCAATGACAAGTATGTCCTCTAAGAGGACCGTCAACTTCCTTCACATTACGTGCATGTGCTTGCCTATTCATGGTATCTTTAAGATCTAAACTTTAAATTTTCTGGGCCGGATCTTGGTACTGGACTAAGTCTCAGGGGTTGGTTCCTTATTTCCGGGAGTTGTGCTAGGGGTGGGTTCTCTTTTGCTTCCTTATATGTATTAAAGAGCCTCATTGAACATTTAAGCTTATGTTTGGATAATATCTTTGACCACGAGGCAATTGAGTTTGTACTTGTCAATAGCTTTCTGTTGTTTTGGTCTTCAAGATGTTTTAAATTTCTTATAAATGTTAACTTTTGTTTTTTGATTCATTGTTCAAAATTGCAAGGACTAGCATTTTGGATACCTTTGAGCTTTTATTACATGCTAGAATCTGAATGTTTAGAAGAGCTACCTTGTTTCCTATCTCTCAATGATGTGCTAATTGTTAGAATGTGAAACAGTATTCTGTTGTATTTTATACTAGCAAGTGAAGTAGTAGTTATCATTGTTATTCTGAGCAGGCAGAGTAATAATTTTCATTGTTATATACTACTCTTGTTCCAAATTATGAGACACTTCTAAGAGAGATTCAATGTCCCAAAATATAAGGCTTTTTGACAAAAATAAGGTTTCATTAATAATATTTTTTCGATATTACTCTTCCCATTATATTTTCTCTTTAATATTTTTTTTCACAAGCATTGTATTAAATGAAGGGCATTTTTAAAAGTTTATATTTTTATTTTGAAAAAATAATATTGTAAATTGTATTTAATTAGCTTTATTAATATGTGTGACTTTATCTAAAAGTGTCTTATAGACAGAGGAGCAATATATATAGATATAATTTTATATATTGGATAAGCCCGAGGTCCATATAATTTGTTTTCAAGGTTTTTCAGTTTGTATTAGGTGTCAGGTGCCTTCTATTTTCTCCATTATTTTTTCTTTTGAGTAGGAATTGAACACGGTGTGGTGTGGTGTGGTGCGGTGTGTTGATGAGGAGAATCTGTCCACAGTACTTCCATTTTTTTTTTTTTAATGCAAGTGATTTTTTTCCCTCTAACAGGTCTTTTTGACCAAATCATACATTCTGCTGATAATGTAGACATTCTAGAGCTGTTCAAACATCTTCACCCTAAGGTACATGAATTTATGGTATTACCTGTATGAAGTTCACACTGAAATGAAAAGGTGAAAGGAAGATAATTTTTATTTCCCAGGTGATGCTAGGCTTGCCAATGTTAGAAGGAACGAATCCAGCTTCATGTTTTCCGGCCAGTGTTATAGGTTATGAGGCTGCTTGCTACAGTCGTATTTGGAGCGAGGTACGAGTAACTCACTGCTTCATCAGATACAGATAGCAATACCGTAGTCAAAATATATCAACAGTTAAAACTCGTAAATGTTCAGGTTTTTGCTGCTGATATATTTGCCTCAAAGTTCAGCAATGATGTTTCAAACCATCACGTTGGCATGCAATTTAGGAACAAGGTAAGTAATGTTATGGCATTTTCCCCCAAGAATTATGTTGATGGTTTGTTATTAGTTTAAATTTTTAAAATTGTCATGAAGCTATGTATCAGTTACCTTATGAAAATCTCGCATATCGCAATTATTTAAGCTTTTTATTTGCTTCTTTGATCAAATATATTGGCAGGTATTGGCCCCCGGGGGATCAAAAGATCCCATTGAAGTTCTAACAGCCTTTCTTGGAAGAGAACCATCAATTCAAGCTTATATTAATAGAAGGGCCAACTATACTTTGCAGGGAGTTTAGCAGGATCGTCTATCGGGTCGTTACTCTGCACGCTGGTCTTATTTATTGGCCCGTGAATTTGTCTGTGTATTGACCTTCGTTGAAAAGATCAGATTTTTATGATAATTGTGCTGTTAAATTTATATGCTTGGGTTAATTATGCAGGTAGGTCCTTTTTATTTTTTGCCAGAAGTACACAAATACCATCTGAGCTAATAAAAATTTATCAAAATAATTGCCCCAAAAAACCATAAAAGTAAGTCAGTAGATTTTATCACTTGCTAGTTCTTCGTACATTTTATTTTCTAGCCGACCAAAGTGTAAATATTCATGGTAGTCTCTGGGACCAGGTATTTATAGGTCTGTAAATAATGAGTTTTCTCTTCTTCTTTCTTGAAAATTTAATTATTTACTTTTTTAATTATTTTTTATTATAATTTAGTCTTTAAATTTTGATTTAATACAATGCTTAAAAATTAATATTTTAAATAGTTAAAATTATGATGGTTGAATTATATCAAGTTAAATTTTAAAAATTAAGTTATAATTAAATTAAATTGTAAAAATTAAATTGTATCAAGTTAAAGATTAATGAATAAATTATAACGGTTAAAATTATATATATATATATATATATCTAATAATAATAATTATTATTATTATTTTAAAATTTTGTGTCTTCATGATTTGGGCGTGGATGACCTGTTAAATCCGAAGTTTTAGAGATTCCCCTTGACAGGTGAGATAGATGAAGAAAGAAAAGTTAGAGAGAGAGAGATAGAGAGAGAGGAAAAGGGTTGTGGTAAGACGATTTAGGCCTTTAGGGCATGTTTAGATGCGATCCCTCTCTGGCAGCAGAGGAGCACGTGTGCAGAACCCTGAGCGAAATGCTGATGCTAATGCTTTCTTTCTTGGTTTATTTACTTCTACACTTTCCCTGCTTATGTGTGAGCTGGATTATTCTATATTTTACTCCTAGGTATATGCGCTAGGCTTGTAGAGGAATCATGGGATTGCCAGCTTCATTTTAATTTCTTCCTCTTTTATTTCTTTATTTGTGTAATGTTTGGGCAATCATACTCACTTTTTCTCTCTTTTTTAGTGAAACACTTTTTTTTTTGTCGTCTTCTTTTGTTCTAACCAAATGGGACTTTTGTTAACACGGGTTAAGTTGACTTGTTCTTTCAGCGAAGTGATTTTTTTTTTAAATTTTATAGTATATACGGATAGATAAATATTCATGTAATTTTCTTTTTCTTTTTCTTTTTTGGCCATGACAATGACACGGTACATCAAGTCATATAGCGTTCAATGATGACTGCTTAAATTATGCCATATCAAGCTTGGGAAAATGGTGTCCCCACTTCCCTTCCTTTCATTTCCCTCTCGTCATTCTTAATCAACTTTTCAACAGTTTAAATTTAATTTTTAATAAAATTATTATTTTAATTTTATATAAGATTTATAAATAAAATATTATAGTTTATAATTATTTAGATTAAAATTTAATAGTTTAAAATATTATAGTTTAAATTTATAAACTATAATATTTTATTTACATATCTTTATATAAAGTTAAAATAATAATTTTATCAAAAATCAAATTAAATCATTAAAATTTTAATTCAAAAGTAACGAGAGAAAAATGAAGGGAAAGAAAGTGAAGACACTCTCTTCCCACTAAGCTTTTGCTTATTCCTCTTGCGAGTGGTGCAAATTCATTCTGTCAATGAGTATTTCATATAATATGATAATAATTATTTAATTTAATTATATATTTGTAAGAGATTTTGTGGTGTCAGTGAAGGGTGTGTTGATTATAAGAATTATTTTAAATTTTTTAGAATAATATATTTTTACTAATTTTTAATTATTGATAAAATCTAATAAATACCTTTGAGTGAGTGAATTTAAATTATTTATCAAATTTAAATCTTAATACTCTTAAGCCTTTGAAAAGAGGCATGATTTTCCCATCTCATTTCAAGGGAAAGTCTCTTACTTTTCCCTTATAACTCTATTGTTTTGTTGTCAATATATATATTTTTTATTAAAAAATATAAAATATTTTTAAATAAATTTTATTATAATAAAATAGTTATTTATTTTTAAATTAATACCATCTTTTCATATTTATTACTATTTTATAAGATATTTTACTTTAAAATAATTATAAATTAATTTATTTATTAAGAATACTTTTAAAAAAATATAATGATTATACATTGAAATATTAAGAATATTTTATATTTTTTAATATCTAATCTCTCAAAACATTCCTTACGTTTTTCAACAAAATAAGTATATATTACACACAGCTTGCATGTATGTGTATGTATAATATACTCATTTGCTTGGGAAATATGTTGGAATTTTAATTTATAATATATTCATTATTTTCCCATGCAATATCCATTTGTTCAAACATCTTCAAGCCCCATTAATAAGATTGAGCTGTCAGTATTTAGTCCTAATTTAAATGTTGTCAAATTAGTTTTAATTGAGTTGGCCAAAAAATTAGTTTTAATTGAACCTTTTGTACTAGCTTTTAAATTCGTTAAAAGAAAAAAAAAGGACCTTCATCTTCTATATGTTTACTAGATCCTACGTTTTTTGGCCAAAAAAAAAAAGATCCTACGTTTGTCTTCCTTCAGTTTCATTTCACCAAACAAAAAATTGAAACAAAAGAAAACCAAAGCCAAAACAAAAGATAAAATGCACAATTTTATTGTGAATTATCTGTGGCGAGCTTAAAATTTTAAATATTAAATTACATAGTAGTTTCACACTCCGTTCTTTGTGCTTTTGCTAACCACAAAAGCTCTTCTTCCAGGGCCTTCAATCTCAATCCGGGCCAAAGAAGTTCCCTTTCGTTGACGTTCAGAATGCGTGATTTTGATTTTGATGTGACCGACGACGGTGTCGTCTCGAATTGAGTCTTGGCCAATTGATGTTTTCTGGTGCATATCTCGCTCGCTTCGTCGCTTCTGTTTTCTGCTTTGACGAGTGGCGAACAACCGGATCCGAAATCAAAGAGAGGAATGATTGAATTAGAAGAAATTTTTTAATGTGTACTGGTAATGAATAAATTTTCCGGGTCAACAAACAACGACGAGGAAGATAAAACCGTGTTTGCTCCATGTATAATACGACCCTATAATTACTTACAATTTTTTCTGTTGCGTTGTTCTTTGAGTTATCTGGATGCTTGCATTTGCATGTGCTTTTTCCGGGTTTGCTTCTTTATTTATTCATATAGTTATTATTTTTTAGCTGGGATATATTTTATTCTCTGCAGATTGTTCGAAAATAATCTTTTGTTTTTAGGAAACAGAAGAACTGAAAGGGGAATCCGCGGAACATTCTTCGTATTTCTCTCGCGGCTCAAGTCAAAGAAACGGAGGGTGGTGGTTAAAATTCTGAATTTTGAATAGCGTCGTGAAGATTATTGCTCCCGATCTTTGCTGTGTTTCGGAATCTAGTGCGAAGGTTTGGTCTTTTCTGACCAATTATCTCTTCGACTTGTTGGATGAGCTGTATTTATAGTTTTAAGTGAATGAGATGAATACTTGAAGGCTATGTTTTGATCCATGGTTAGAGAAGTGGGTTTCTTTATGCTCCCCAGATGAACAGGGGATTTCATGCGGCCACCGTATGTTTTTTGTCATTAAGGGACATTCAGTCAATATGTGTGTCTGGTGTTTTCTGTACATGATTTTATGTCATTGAGGAAGGTTACATGAATCTTTGTTTATTCCGCACAACAGAAGAAGACGTGTGGTGCACAAGCGTAAGTGATCAGTATTTCAGATTTCTGGCAGGTGTTAATTCTATGAATTATGTTCAAACAAATACTCAGTAAGCTTCCTCGAAAGTCGTCTAAATCCTCTGAATATCGGGAACACGGTGGAAGTGGAAGCCCTGCAGTTCATTCAAATGCTTCGTCCGCCTCTCGAAGCGGTGATCTTGGGAGCAGTAAGTCCGGAAATTCTTCCGTATTGCAAGCCCATTATTCTGCTTTAAATCCGGGACAGAATCATGGTAACAGAGTTTCCCTTGGTGCGAATGTAAATCTGACTGGGAATTCGGTGCCTACCTCGTATGAAGCATTACCAACATTCAGGGATGTTCCTAATTCTGAGAAGCTGAACTTGTTTATTAAAAAGCTGAAGATGTGCTGTGTTGTGTTTGACTTCACTGACCCAACTAAGCACACCAAAGAAAAGGAAATTAAGCGGCAGACCTTGGTAGAAATGGTAGACTATGTGACTTCTGCCAGTGGTAAATTCCCAGAAATTGTAATACAAGAAGTTGTAAAAATGGTAACTGTAAATATATTCAGGACGCTTAGTCCTCAACCGCGTGAGAACAAATTTGTTGAAGCCCTTGATGTGGAGGACGAGGAGCCTTCCATGGATCCTGGTTGGCCTCACTTGCAAATTGTGTATGAGCTTTTTCTAAGATTTGTGGCGTCACCTGAGCTGGATGCAAAGTTGGCTAAAAGATATGTTGATCAGTCCTTCATATTGAAGCTTCTGGATTTGTTTGACTCTGAAGATCCTAGAGAACGAGAATATTTGAAAATGACTCTACACCGCATTTATGGAAAATTCATGGCGCATCGCCCTTTCATCAGGAAAGCTATCAATAACATCTTTTATCGTTTTATTTTTGAGACGGAGAAGCATAATGGAATTGCCGAATTTTTAGAAATTCTGGGGAGCATCATTAATGGTTTTGCACTACCATTGAAAGAGGAGCACAAACTGTTTCTTGTTCGTGTATTGATTCCCCTTCACAAACCAAAATGCTTAGCAATGTACCATCAACAGTTGTCTTATTGCATTACCCAATTCGTAGAGAAAGATTGCAAGCTTGCTGATACCATTATTAGGGGATTATTGAAGTACTGGCCAATAACAAATAGTTCAAAGGAAGTGATGTTCCTAAGTGAGTTGGAAGAAGTTTTGGAAGCAACTCAATCTCCAGAATTCCAGCGCTGTATGGTGCCATTGTTTCGCCGGATAGCACAGTGCTTGAATAGTTCACATTTCCAGGTATGACATCTCAATGTTTTGATCTAGTTTGTTTCACCTCATCACGATTCTATGTGGACATTACAGTTTATTTTTGAAGAGGGTTTTCATTAGCGATCTCTGTGTTACTGATGATATTTATTTCCTTTATTTGAGAAGACCTTTTGGCCTCTAGAAAAGGAGGGACCTTTTGTATCACTTGATTTCCTGGTACTTCCTTTAGGTTCAAAATCAAAACAATGAAAAATGATTGTTTTCTTAGGTCACAATGCCTTTCTGATGGGCCCCAATATTCAGGGTGTATTCTGGAAGGGCCAGGAAGGAAGGCTGTCGTAGGCTGTTACACAATGACTTTGGGGTGGTTTGGGCAGGGAAAATTCTGTTCTTGCCAGAATGAGTGGGTGTAAGTGAGTCTGGGTTATGAAGAAGTCTTATAAAGAGTGAGAAAGGTTGTGGAAGAGTTTAGATTGGTTTTGGTGGGAGATGGTTGGCATCCCAAAGGCCGGGCATTGTTTTCTTTCTTCTGTTTTTATTCCTTGATCACTGTACAGGCAATTCTGCCATTCTGATGGTTTGCCTATGTTTTGTTATATAAATTCCAGATACGTCTGTTATTTCTAATATTTACTCTAGAATATTTGTCTGGGTTCCATCACTTTCTAAAGCATGGAGATCATTCAAATCTTTTTCTAATTACTTAAGTTTTGGATATATCTAGCAATCCATCTTTGTTTTATAGGGCATAGAGTTGGGCCTCTAAAAGAAAAACGTGGATGTTTGAATTCGAGTCTTTTTTTGTCTTATGGTTATCCAATTCCAATAAACTGGAGCACCGATCGCCTGGCATATGCAGTAGGTGTCATATGAAGCATTATCTCATGCACACAATAGTTTAGTAGTGTAGTTCTTATATTCATACACGCACACAGAAAAAGGGAAATCTTTAGTTCTTCAACTTGGCATTGCATGCCTAGGAATGGCTTCTTGGTGAGTGTTGGAGATTGGAGTTTGTTCTTCTCTTTTCTTCTTTTTTGAGAAAAGGGGGGGGGGGGCGCGTAAACTCTTAAACTTTGCTCTACCTGGTCTTTCATGTTTCTATTAAGTCCAAAGATAAGTTGTCCTAACACTCTCTCCCTCCCCCCATTCACATAGTTTAGTCTAATTCCTCTGACATTTCATTAATTATTGGTGCTTCTTTCTTTCTGTATATTGCTGGAAGGTTTTTCTTGTCTCTGAATATTTAAGTCCATGCCTTGGAGGTCTTATTTTGTGCCAGTTCTGCATTATGTTCAAATAGATGAAACTATTTTGAATTGGATATTTCTTTCTTGACAAAGAGAGCATGGATTTTATTAATTATGAGGCAACGACAACTTTCTTCTGAGATGTGCATAGTAGACTGAAATTGAGTCAATTCTCCTTTAAATCATTCATTTGTAGCGATTCAGTCATTTGCTGGATTACATTGTACATGAAATCATCAGTAATTTTTTGTCACTCAGTTTTTTTATTCAAAAAAATGTGTATTCCGATTTTTTTTTTTCCTTGGATACTTATCAAATTTGATGTTTTTATTGTAATCTATTTTTGTATGAGATCAAGGCGATCATAACCTTTACCCTTTAATTTTCATTATGGGTTGCCTGCTTGCCTTTTGTTGGAACAACAATATGATGTAATAGACGCTACCAGTGGTGTAGATAAGATCAACTTCCGTGTCATTGACTAATGTGCTATTTTTAATGTTCCCATTCATCCTTAGAATGACGTGCTATGGAAGTTAAATTCACATTTTTACCTTCCTTGCTCTTTTTTTCTTTCTTTTTTCTTTTTGGCAGTTTTTACACCTAAACATTAGTCTTCATTATTTATTTATTTATTTATTTTTTGACCAATCACCTAAGCACTATTCTGAGGTTGAGTTATTTTCTAAGTGAGGAGAGGGTCCTTTTACTTACTGACAATATAGGGCCTGTTTGGTTTTTATTCTCATTTTTTGTTTTTCAAAACTGTTTTGTAATACAGTTTTTAAAATTATTTTTAAAACAAAATAAAAAGAAAATTCGTTTAGTTATGTTAGTTAAAAAACAGTTTTAGAATTAAAAAATAAACTGATAGTGATGGTTATAGGTAGTTAATTGTAGTGATTAATAATAGAAATTAATTAAGGTAACTATAATTTCTAATAATTAAATGTAGTATATTTAAAAAAAAAAGAAAACAGCTTTTTAAAAAAAAATGAAAATCATTTTAAAAATAATTAAATGAAAAACACTTATCCAAACAAATTTTTAAATTTTTCTGTTTTTACAAACAAAAAACAGTTTTTAAAAACAGAAAAGAAACAAGCCCATAGTCGCCAAACGTTTATTGGCATCTCTACAAGTAACTAAAAGAACTTTTTGGCCATGCTTTACAGATGCTTGATTGGCCCTCCCAAAAGAATTTGGCTTTGTTTAAGTTTTCTTATTAGAAAGGTGGAGAAAAAAATGTCATACCATTATTCCAGTCTCCCTCTTGTTTGACTTTTAATAATTTTCTTAAGGCGTTCTTTGTAGTCTAGATGCACGAAAGTACCAATAAACTGCAATTTGCTACATTCAAGAGAAAAGTTAACTTTTTCTTATCACACAACATTATGATATTTTTTTTCTTATTTAAATTTTTTCGTTGAAAATTTCTCCTTCCCCTAAAAGTAATCAACGGCACTTGTAAATAACTCTTTGTATTAGTCCAGCCTATAAACTAAGGAGTTATAAGCCAGCAATATTTGTTTGCTACTGTACTGTTATTTGATTTTGTACTTTTAAAATTAAAACCTTATAATTCTTACTTTATATGCAAAACTTACTGTGTGAAGTGTCACCAAGCTGAAAGAAACCTGATTAAATGAGCGATGTAATGTTAGATTTAGTGATGCTTTTCGTTGATTACTCATGCTTATGGATTGGAGCATGTCTCGTCCTTGGTGTAGTCCATCAGCCAAATGTATGATTGGTGCTATTGTCATGCTAAACTTCTTTGCATGTAAGGGAATTACTTTATAGTTTTCAACTTTTATTATTCCATGTCTTTGCCTGACGCATGCTGGATGCACATATTAAATACAAAACAGATACTGAAAATTATACGCAAACATAAATCTCGCGATTCTGCTTTCAGGACTCAGGTGGCAGTGTTTGTTCTTGTGAAACAATGATCTCATTGAGAGCTTGCTTTGTAGTGTTGATTTTATAGTTTAGGTCCATCAACATGTTTATGTCTAAGACTGACTGGAAATGCATATCATAAAGTCACTTCTTTTTTTTTCAGCAAAACAAAAAGAAAAAGCACTGGACATGCATATCAAATACTCCTCTAGTCCTATTTATAGAATAGAGAGAGAGTATTTGTTTTGGTTTTATTTATAGAACACTTCTATGATTTTTGCTTCCATCCTTACCCTTTTGCCCCTATTAAATGCTGGGGTATTTTATTTTTAATGTTTGTATATTTAATAAGTACAATTAGAGACTAGTTAAATTTTTAGACAGTGTGACCTGGTTTTAGTGATACATGTTAAAAGTGATTTATAAATAAGACCAGAAGGAGTACAACTCTATAAAGTATGCACAAACACCTCTGTCGCCGAGTTCTAAACCTGTGTCAGTGTCCGTGCATATCAATTCATACTATCTCCCCACAGCACAGACATGAATGTTGTGCTTTTGTTTTCAGGTGGCTGAAAGGGCGTTGTTCATGTGGAACAATGATCATATTGAGAACTTGATAAAACAAAACCGCAAAGTGATACTGCCCATTATCTTCCCAGCACTGGAGAGAAATGCCAGAAGCCATTGGAACCAGGCCGTGCACAGTTTGACTCTAAATGTAAAGAAGACTTTCTATGATCTTGATCCTGACCTGTTTAAGGAATGCTTACAGAAGTACGAGGAAGATGTATCAAAGGAAGATGAAGTTACAGCAAAACGTGAATCTATTTGGAAACGTTTAGAGGAACTTGCTGCAAAAAAAGCTTCAAGCAATGAAGCAGTCCTTGTTCATTCTCAAGCTTCCCCTCGTAGCTCTTCAGGTTAGGAAGAATTGGAATCTGTAGTATGATCCAATAACTTCATTTTTGAAAAAAAAAAAAAATCTGAGCTGGAATTTTATATTATTTGTTCGTTTTATTGATGGGGTGGCTAAGAGCAGTAATTTCATGAATATTTTCTTACTTTCTCACAGAGCAATTGAAGGGGATGATAGTAACACATAATGGAAAGCTTAGCTAGCATATTGCATTTGAACCCCAAAGGTATTTTGATTTATTAGTAGATATGAATATGTGGTTAAGTGCATTGTTAATATGTTCAAATCTTTTAAGCCAATCCCAATTATTTTGGGGTAAGACTTCAAGAAACATTTTGTGAATTATTTACCCTTCTTTTTTTGGGACTGAATATTTGTAGTTTCTAAGATAAACATGATGTGTGAAAGTTTTATGTACTTTTTTAAACCTTACATTTTCTTTATTTTTTACATTGAAGAATTGTCAAGTAACGTAAGGGGCATTTTTGTCTATGGAAGTTTTGTAAGGGGACATTTATAAGTTTGTCTTCTTTTTTTTTTTTTCATTTTTAACTCAAGTCTTGGAGCATTCATTTATTTATGGAAAATTACACTTAAGTCTCACAAAAGAGAATTTATTATCAAGATGTCTCATGAAATTTACGAAATATTTTGAAGCCTGAATCCTACTTATTTATAATTTGACAAAAGGTATTTATAATTTATTTTTACAAGTTGTCATTTTTTTTATAAATTGTAAATACTTCTTGTCCAATTATAAATACTCTTTATTAAGTTATAAATGTACAGGATTTAAAATTTAAAAATATTTTATAAATTTTATGAAATTTTTTGATAATAAATTTTCTTCTGTGAAATTTAGGTGCAATTTTTTCATTTATTTATTGAGTCAAGAGAACGCGGATGTATGAATAATTGAAACAATTGCAGTAAAATTAAATTAATTTTTTTTGGGGGGAATTGACAATTGTTGTGGCTCTGGTTCATATTATGGAAGCTTATATGTTAAGCTTAAGCCATCATGATTTGACTGACATTTTTGTTTTTATGTCTTTTCGATGACCAAATTGAGATGATAATTTAAAATTTTACAAATTGAAAAAAAAATATTGTAAAAGAATTCCGGCATTTATGAGAGCACATGAACTTGCCTGTTTCATATATTCAGTCATATACACCAAAGAAAAAAAACAAATATCGAAAAAATTACCTGTTACTCGGGTGGTTAATACTTTTATCCCTTTGATCGTCTAATATAATTGCTCACTAGATTGTTGGCCAAAAAAAAAAAATTTGCTCACTAGATCAAGACGTAAAGAAATTTAAGCATGCTATAGGTTAATAATTATTAATAATGCTCCCAAATGGTCTTTACACTTTACAGTTTATCTTTGTCGCTCATTTAGTCATTTTAATTAATTTTTAGTCCTTCAAATTTCTTTCAATTATTAATTTAGTTTTTGAAGTTTAATATTTATTGATTTAATCTCTTATGTTTTATTAAATTATTATATTAGTCTTTTTAAGTTTTAAAATATAAATTTACTTTTAAATTAATCTAATATGTAAAGGGTACCACCTTAAAATTCACACCTATTTTTGACAATAAAGGCAATTTCCCCAACAACTTTATTCATTAAACATACACCATGGTAGTAAAGATTCTATCATATTAATAAAGAGTAAAACTTATTTTTTAAAAATATTATCATGATAAATAAAAGTTTATCATAATAGAAAAGACTTTAAATAATATTATGAAATCTTATCATGATAAAAAAAAAGAGTTATCATGATAATTAAAAGTCAAAATTATTTTTACAAAAGCATATCATGGGAGAAAGATGTCTTCTTACGAAAAAAACATTTTTCAAATTGGATTACCATATTAAGAAAAGGATATATCATAATAGAAAAGATTAAATATAGTAAAATAGACCTACTATGATAAATAAGGAAGTAAATAACTCAAATAAATAACCATCGATAGAAAACTAAGTTAAATAAAATGTACTTCATGGGATCCCACTGAAAACAAGTATATAAATCTAATAAAATGATAGAAAAGGTAATTAAAAGTGAAACATGGTTCCCATAGACTACACTGTTCAAATATAAGTTTATTAAGGGTAAAAGAGTCCAAAATAATCATTTCAAAAGTTTAAAACTTAACGTTAGCAATTCCAAAAAAAAATTTATATAATATGATGCACCATACGTGCCACATGCTGTGATAAATGGCACAGAGAAAAAAATACATTATTTATAACAAGTACTTTGTGAACAATATCAATAAATTTCAAATGAGTATAACTTTACTGCAAATACCAAAATTGAGTAATTTAATTATCTACACAAATCTTATTAAAAGATCTAGTTAATGGCTTTGATTTAGTACAAAAATTCCTCCAAGTGAAGATTTTATCTATTGAAACACATTAAGATACAAAACATGACTTTCCAAATACTTAACACTTCACAAACCAAAACCAAAGCTTCTAACCATTGTGTAAAACACTTGATCAACTCAAACCCATTTAACAATTTTACACTTTGACACATGCATATACAATTCTTATAGTTGGGTTAACCACCCAACATAGTATATATATAATGCCATAACATCTGGTATAGGAAAATTTTTTTCATCTAAAATACTTAAAGAAGCATATCTAAGCATATCAAAGACCATGAGTGTCACCAAAAACTACTTTATGGCATTTATATAGGGAGTTAATTAAAAGTATGAGAGTTACGTGCTTATTTGCAAAACAAATGCCCTAAGATTGATAAAATATACATGACCAAACAGAATGATGCCTAACACTACTAATTGGTAAAAACTGGCTTCTTTGGCTAGACGCTTCCCTGAAAAATTATTAATCATGAGGAATAAGATACAAAAGTCTTAATAACTAATACTAATATGCCATAATGTAATTCATGCAACTAATCATATGATTGCTAAGTGAATATATAAAACATTTATCCAAACAACTTAAATGCAAGCATACCAAACAAATAATGCACAACTACACCTCATCTTCTCCTTACTCCATGGATTGATGTCCTTGCCAGTAGCTTACTCCCACCTAATCAAATGTAAGCTAGTCCAAGCAATAGAAGTCACTCATTGGGTTCAAATAAGAGTGTACCACATGGTACAAATTTAATTCTCAATATTAACCACCCTCTTAATGAAATCCATACATACAGAATTTTCAAACAAATACAATTGCTAAAAATTAACATATTTTCTCAAAAATCATAATTTCATGCTGAACATATTTATATGCAATTATACATTCCACTAGCAATACATTTTTTCAAACAACAATTATACACTTTTTCCAGACATAATTATGATATTTTGGAACAATCCATTCAAACTTCCAAACAAGAACTTAATTCATACTGAACAATATATATATATATATATATATATTTCAATGCAACAAATTATTTCTCAAACACACATAACCAATTGCATGACATAATAGTAGATGTTACTTTTACTCCTAGCAATCAAAATTCTTGGACAATTGATTTCTTACTACCTTCAATTCCTTTATCTACACATAACATAATTCTAACCATATTTAGTATTTGTGATTAGATACTATTCACACTTTAATTTAATGATAGGCTAATTAATTTAATAAATCCCACATTGTTAAATTCATCCAGATTCTTAAACTTAATCACCATAATCATCATTACACTTATATATCATATATTTAGTCTCTTCATCCTCAAATCATCATAAGCATCTCCTCTCAAGTCAAGGTTTTTCAAATTTTAATATCACATTACTATACTCATCATCAAAACTACATAAACAACATTTATTCAATCTCAAAATCACTTTAGAATGTGAACCCATTAACTAGGTACGCACAAAAAATGAACACCCAAGTTTGACCCAAACATAAACTAACTTAAAGAGAGGTTTATAGGGTATAAATGAGTTTAGATAAGTTACTTTAGCTGTTTGGGAGTAAAAACCCTAGCCTTAATGATGAAGATCAACAAACTCTAATAGAGCAATGAATTTTCGCACCTTCCCTCACCAAAAATCCTCATTGTTATTTTTTCTTTCATACAACACTTTAAATGTTGAAAACAAGCTGCATGGCGTAGCATATAGCACAGTACTAAAAAAACTCACTTAAACCTAATAATTTGGGCCTAAGCTGATCTAACATCTATTTTGAACCCCAAATAACGTTAATACATGATCTTAGGCCCAATTTAAACAATAATTAAACATCTAAATATTTAATTAACCTCCATAAACCTCAATTAACATAAATCCTCAATTAAATCCTCAAAATATATGTCTCTTCAATTAAATACTTATTTACACACATTTCCTCAATTAAACACCTAAGTGCACATATTTCCTCATTTAAAAATAATTTTTCAAATTAAATTCCCTCAATTATCCACAAATTTCACAATTAAATTCCTAAATAAAATTTAGGATGTTACATAAAATAATTTTCTGATTTGACATGTATATGTAGCTAAATAAAAATAAATTATTTCTCAAATTGGTTTATTTTTTTGTTAATCCAATCTTTTACGATGTACTTTATTCTTTTGTTTATAAACAATTTTTAAATTTTTTTATTTAAATAATTATACTTCTTTTTATTAATCTATATAGTTGCCATCATTATTATTTTTTTATCTATGTTAGCATGTTTTAATAGTGTTACATTCTATTTAAATATTAAAAACCAAATTGATAATTAAGATGAACATAAAAGACATAAAAATTAAATTTAAAAGATTAACTTAATAATTAAAGTAAATTTGAGAAATTAAAAATTTCATAATCACTAAGTAACATAAGATGTATGATGAAATAAATTCCAGTAATTGAGATTGATATTCTCAAGCTTCTCAAAGCAAATAATATCGTCACGGGTCATAGTTTGACGGAGTCAGAGACACTTTCAAATATGAATGTCAATTTGTAGATGATATCCAAGGAAAATACGATTCTTTTTTGGATGAATTTCACACAGGGCTCTCATAATATACAAATTTATATTAGAACTTAATATAATTTAAAAATGCATTGTATGCTTGAGAGTCTTTCTTGCAAATTTTATTATGAATAAAAAAATGTAACTGTCCTTGTCTCAGTAGAATGTCCAAGTATGCACAACAAAATCTTTACAAATTTTCAATACAATGTTTATAAATACACAATACATATGGTAGACATTAACTTGAAGAATATTATTTGAATGGGCTTATATTGTTTATTATGAACTTTATATTATACAAATATTATAGGTTTACATATATTCACTATGTTAAGAATTGGTTGATATTTTATTGTACATTCATAAATATTGTATTATTCATCCTTTATTTGCTTATATATCTCACTTTAAATTAAACCATATTCATAAGATATATTATACATTTATGAATATTGTGTTGAGAATTCTTTAATATCTATGAATATTGTGTCAAGACAAAGGTCAATATGTTTTTCTGCCATAACAAAATTTGCATGAATGACCCTTAGGCTTGCGGTGCGCTTTCAAATTATATTGGGATTTAAGTGCAAAATTTTATATTTTGAGAGCTTTAAGTGAGACTCTCTCTCTCTCTTCTTCGGTGAAAAGGTGGAGGATATTAAACATTAAAAGAAAATAATTTTTAAAAAAATGGGATATAAAGGAATGATTCTGTGCAAGGCTGGAAGCTACGTTTGGGTTCAACAACCATAGCATTTAAGTGGCATCATTTTTATCATTATCTGGAAGTCACCATCACATTCCTGTGATCGGTGGATTGGATTTGAGATTTGAAAGTCAAAAATGTCATTCAGACGAAAATCATGGAATTTTTGTCCTTATTTAAATGCGAGAATCACGCTTTGATACCAATATATTGAATTAATTATAATATAGGAATAACATGGAACATTTTAAAGGAAGAGTAATTAAGTAATTTCATTATTATTGAGAAAATTATTAAGGATCGCAAGTCCTTTGTTATTAAAATTGTAAAATGCTTTTATCCTAGTGATTAATTTTGATTTATTGCTGGCAAACTGTTATTCCTTCTTTTTAATATTGGTATGCTTTGAATCATACATTCTCAATAGTGCAAGTATACATTCTTCACTCATTTGTATTAAGATAATTTAGGATTGAGTCATTATCCACAAAAAAAAAAAAAAAGAAATGAGTCATTATTCATGGTTCATATGAATAGCGCAAGTTATCAAAATTTTTATTATATACTATGTCATTTTTATTTATATATGTGTAGTTGTTCATTTTTTAATCTATTTTCAGATATAATTCATAATTGTGTGCTTTAGTTCTTTTTGCCAATATATATCCGGTAACTTTTGTACAACTGTTCTAGCCCAATAAAACCTTTAGATTACTCGTCCCATTTAATGTTATAAGACATTTTTTAAAAAAATTAAATTAAAAAATATAAAATATTGGATAAATTGGTCCAAAAAAATGTCAACAGGTTTTTGAAATCATGTACCTAGAAAATATAGTTTTTGAAAAATTGAAAGTATGGCTGTTTTTCATTAATATACAAAAAATTTATTATTAATATACAATATGTTTATTATTAAAAATTTAAAAATTTATCACGGGTTTATTATTTATAGACAACGGCATATCATTAGTAAATATAAAAAAAGTCATAATGTAAAATAAAATAAATATTAAGTTGTAAAATCTATAAATTTAAAAATAAATAACTAATAATCAATTTTTTATTATTATAACCAAATATAAAATAAATTTTAATTTTTATAAAATATTTACAATATAATTTTTTTATAAAATCTATAAATTACCTAAAAATTACTTATTTTTTAATTTTAAATAAACGAGTCTTGAATTTGGCATGGCGTCTATCTAATCAGGCGGTTCATAGTATTTTGTTTATTTAAATGAATTTAGAATGAATTTATGTATCAATTAAACTTTATTTTAAAAATAGAATTCTTTGAGGTCGATTTTAATATTGCAAAATTTCATGAATTAATATCATGACTTTATATTTAATAAATCGAAATAAAAAAAATTAAAATATAAAAATTTACTCCAACATTTTTTGCCATCCCATCAATTTACCTGCTATGAAATAAGGATTTTAGTGCTTGTTTTGTTTTGGTGTTATTTTTAAAAAAATTATTTTGCAAACCAATTTTTAAATTTTTTTCAAAAGAACAGAAAAATTATTTGATTATGTTAATTTAAAAATAATTTTAGAATTAAAAGAATAACCATGAAAATAGTCGTTAATAATTAATAGTGATAGATTATGATAATAGTTGAACAAAGTTGTTGCCAAAAAAAAGTTAAAAATTATTAAATTTAATTTATAATAATTAAATTCAGTGTGATTTAAAAATAAAAAATAAAAAAATTAAGTAGCTTGTTCCTATTTTTTGTTTTTTAAAAAAATATATAGAACTATTTGTCATGAAAAATTGGGTGATCATTTTTGTTATATGTTTAAATAAATAAATAAATGTATTGATTGGTTTATAGGTTAAATTTCTGATGATAATTTAAATATTAAAATTTTTTATATTCCCAAATATAACATCACTTGATATATTTAGAGTCGGAAATAAGGGTTGGGCTTGTAGGGCCGCCTGTTTAAGCTCATTTTTATAAGAGTTAGAATTTGAAAAACTGATATTTTTTAAGAAAATTAGGCTTTCAAGCCCAGCCCTGATAGACTTTAAAAAAACAGGCTTGAGTGACCCTTTTAGGCTCGTATTTATTTTTTCTTAAAAAATAAAATATTTTTAATTTTTAAATTAAATTTAAATTTTAGAATAAATGTTTATACTTTAAAATTAGAATTTCTATTATTTATTTTTAATTTTTAAATATTATAATTTGTATTTTTAAAAAATATATTAAATATTATAATTAAAAATTTTAGTTTTTAAAACTTTCAAAAAATAAAAAATAATAATAAAAGCTTACAAGCCTGACCCCTGAGCCTTTTATATAAAGGCCAGGCTTTAAAAAATGAAACATTTTAAAGAAACTGAACTTAAGGGCTTAAGCCCTTAAAGGCTGGGTCCATACAGGTGAGGCCTACTTGTTTCCTAACCCTAGATATATCACCTACTTGTACAGGCCTTATGTTAAAAAAAAAAAATTAATATGCCATGAGAAAATTAAACTTATATCATTAGATACTTTATCTTGAAGCGGTCACGGCTCTTGAAAATAGACATTAATATAAGGCTAAATCATGATGAAAAATAAAACTAAAGGTTATTGTTTGTAAATCCAGGTTGAATAAGTTAGGTTGACCTATAAATTAATGAATCAATCACCTAATTGATTGAGTTGATTGAAAAAATTGGTCATCCATGACTCAGCTTTAATCCTATCAAATTAGCTTCAATTCGAATAAATTTAGCCAACTCAATGGGTTAATGGGTTGACTTGAGGTCAGATTTTATTATTTTTATTTTTTGCTTTCTTCTCTTAAATATTTAATCTTAAATTAAATATAAATTTTTTAATTAATAATTTTAATGCTTTTGTATTTTATTATTGTTAGAAACTTATAATTATTATTTTTATAAGATATGTAGAAGATTTTATGAATACATTTTTCATTTACTCAAGAATGAAAGACTTTTATTTAAATATTATGATTTTTCATATGAATTTTTATTATATATTTAATCAAATTATATTATTTTATGGTTCAACCTTGTTAAAGGTAGATAAACGAATAAATCAAATTTATTTCCTTTTTTTTCAGATTTAGTTTATTCGTTTTGAAAATTTTTATCCATCGTCATCGTCATTATTATTGCTTGTAACTTTCATTTCACTCTCCAACCAGGCAATTTATATAATAAATAAATAAATAAATAAATAGGGAACACCTTGCCTTTCTTTCTCAGCTTTTTATTTTTAGATGATATATATCTTCCTTCCTCTACTCTAGGCTCACCAGATCCTTGCTTCAACAAGAATAAAAAAGATTCGTCTTTTCAATTTTCACCTGGGATTCTTCTATCTTCTACATTTTTCGCTTTTGCCTCTTGCATGCCATGTTCTTACTATTATAGTTCTTCACTTTTCTCGAACGCTTTCTTCCCATACTATGTTCGTGACGAAATAGTGAAATGCTACCTTATTTTTCTGGATCGCTCGCAGATCGTTTTGTCACTGAACTACTAATCTTAAAGGGTTGAAGAGGAAGAATGCGAACAGGTAAGAAAGCATACTTTCTACCCTCTGTCTTGAAATGATTAACCGTAAAGTGTTATTGTAAAAATTACACGCCATTATTGGCTTGGTGTGTCTGAGTTTCTTGTCTCTGCTTATTCGCTTATGAGTTCAGGGTTGATGAGTTTAAATTTCGGTGATTGATTTATCCTGAGACGAAAGGGGATTCCTTAATTTTTGTCAGGATGATTTTTTTCCTGAATAAGCGGTTCTTCTTCTTTGATGTTTTGGTTAATGCTTCTCGATGGTACCTTGTTATTGTGATTAGTTTGTGATGCTCATTCTGTTTATCTGTTGACTTTATGTGGTGTTTTTGTTTTGCTTGTGGGTTTAGTTTCTCTGATTGTGACTTTATAGGGTCCTCTTCTTCCATTGGGTCCTGCACTGAAGGTTACAAATAGCTGCGTTGGGTTAGGTTTGAAATTATGATCAAACAGATACTTGGTAAGCTTCCAAGGAAGCCATCTAAGTCAGCTGACAATCGTGAATTTTCTGGTCCAACAACAGCCTCTTTGCTTCAAACTACTGGTTCTAGAGCTGCTGATTTTGTGAGTAGTGGACCAGTGAGTTCAAATAGTACGTTTCTTCCTGGCTCTGAAGCTGCTCCCAGTTCAGCATATGGTCATGGAAGTAATGTCCCTTCTATTGTGAACTCGCAAGTGAATGGTAGTGTGGCAGTTACTCCTTATGAAGCGTTGCCAGGGTTTAGGGATGTCTCGAACTCTGAAAAGCAATCCTTATTCATCAGAAAACTGCATTTGTGCAGTGTAGTGTTTGACTTCACTGACCCCACAAAGCATATAAAAGAAAAGGAAATCAAAAGACAGACATTGCTTGAGCTGGTGGAATATGTTACTTCTGTGAGTGCCAAATTCAATGAAACTGTCATGCAACAGATTATCAAGATGGTATCTGTAAATTTATTCAGGTCACTCAATGCGCAGCCCCGTGAGAACAAGGTTTCTGAAGCCTTTGATCTGGAAGATGAGGAACCTCTGATGGATCCTGGTTGGTCTCACTTGCAGATTGTGTATGAATTTTTTCTTAGGTTTGTTGCATCTCCAGAAACAGATGCAAAACTAGCAAAGAGGTACATAGATCACTCTTTTGTTCTCAGATTGTTGGATCTCTTTGATTCAGAGGATCCGAGAGAGAGGGAATATCTGAAAACAATCCTGCACCGGGTCTATGGAAAGTTTATGGTGCATCGCCCATTTATTAGGAAATCTATTAATAATATCTTCTTCCGTTTTATTCTTGAAACGGAGAAATTTAATGGGATAGCTGAGCTTCTAGAGGTACTGGGCAGTATAATTAATGGGTTTGCTCTGCCACTAAAGGAAGAGCACAAATTGTTTCTTGTTCGTGCTTTAATCCCTCTTCATAAACCAAAATGCTTAGCTATGTACCATCAGCAGTTGTCATACTGTATTACACAGTTTGTGGAAAAGGACAACAAGCTTGCTGACACTGTAATTAGGGGTTTACTGAAATATTGGCCTATCACTAATAGTTCAAAGGAGGTCATGTTCCTCAGTGAGCTCGAGGAAATACTGGAGGTGACTCAGCCTGCAGAATTCCAAAGATGTATGGTACCCTTATTCCGTCAAATTGCCCGATGCTTGAGTAGCTCACACTTTCAGGTAACATGCTATGTTATTACACGGCAGAATTTTACAGAAAACTGTTTTCTTTGTTCTCACTGCTAGTTGTTATCTTTTAAACATATTCACTTTCCTAATTAACAAGGCAAGGAACGAGCTTTTTCAGTAAGTCAATCATATCATGATGCTGCCATATCCTTTCTCATTTTCTTGAAGCGATCTTATCTGGATTTGTTTGCAAGACGATATGTTTTGCTTGAACGGTTTAGTGGTAGCACTGAGATCACACTGTGGGAGTAATGTAATATTTGGATTTTAGTCATGCATTATTTATGGAAATCCACTCACAGCCATTTTGAGCTAACTGAACAAATGAGACTAACATTTTAAACACAAGCTTTAATATAATAGCTGTTGTCTTCAATAATGCTTTTTTTTTTTGTCACTGTTTTCAATGACTAGACATAAGCCAACTACCTTTTGAAAAGTTCATAAAATGCTAGAGAACTTATTGTTGTCTTTTTCTAACTTGACACTGACCAACCCCTGTATGTTTGGATCCAGTCATGATATAAAATAACCTTAAAAGTACATTTTCAGTTTTAAAAATGAAGAAATTGCCACATGTACTAGTGAAAAATTTTATATATTTTGTAATTAATCTATTTTAGAGAATGTACTTAGTGAGGCTGAGTCTAGAAAATGAAAAATGAAATTATAAGTTTGAATTCATTAATTAATGAAAAATGAAAAAAGACTATGGGAGGCACCTGTGAGGAGAGTAAAAAGATGCTTTGAGCCCTGTCAAGAAGGGTAGAGGAAAATCGAAGAGAACATTTTTGGAGGTTGTTGAGTGAGACCTTTTAATTAATAATATTCCTTAAAAAAAGGAAAAAATTGATCTTTTAGTCTTTCAACTTTTAATTTAACTCAGTCCCTCAACTATGATTGTGACTCAGTCCCTCAACTATGACTTGCCTATGACTCAGTCCCTCAACTTTTGAATCACTTGCAAATTAGTCCTTGAACTTTTGTTAATTTTTTTTTATGTTAGCTTATATCTCACATTAATGAACAAGAGGAGGGTATTTTAAAATAATATATGAGTATTTTTTTTATCTTTCTTATTTGACAAGAAATTTTTTTAAAAAATTAAAAAATAAGGACCGAATTATAGGTGAATCAAAAGTTGAGGGATTGAGTCGCAGTGAGTTATAGTTGGGGGATTAAGTCATAGCGAGTCATAGTTGAGGGATTGAGTTACAAGTGAGTTAAAAGTTAAAGGATTAAAAGATTAATTTTTCCAAAAAAAAAATTTAATAAATGATAGAGTACAATGGCATCATATAATCCATGTAGCCGATCCCACCTGGTGGGATAAGGCTTGTTGTTATTGTTGGTTGGCCCTTGCTATGAGGAATCTTAAGTGGTTAGTATTTTGATACTTCAAGTGGTAATAGCATTAGTTACTAAGAATCCCAATTTAGTTATATTTTCTAAGGCTTACTAATTATTGATAATCATTGGGGATGATGATTTTTGTCCTGTTGTATTAATTTTAGTACTGTCATCTATTTCCTTTGAATTAAAGAACCTGCCTTCCTGATGACACTCCTAATAAAGAATAAAATAACCATGTCAGACCTAAATATATAAGTAAAGATCATGCCTTGCCTTCCATTAAAGCTTAAAATTTGAGATTCTCTTTATTATGATTTGCTTTTTTGTTTTAAACATGTATCTCCATGTTTGGTTGTTAACAGTTATCTTTCCCCCTCTCTTTCCTTTTTTCTCTATTCCCCCCTACTTCTTCCCCTTTCCCCTTCTGGTTCCACAACACTTCCTATTTTAGAAGATGGGTCGAAAGGGACAACACATGTTAAAATTCTACCACGTACAAGTGTCTTCATCTTCTTTTGGGAAAGAAAAATGGTTTGATGGTCAACAGAAGCCCGCATAATCAACTTGCATCATTTAAGTCTTATTGAAAAGGAAGCAAGCAGAGAAAACAATCATTTTTTATTTTTCTTGGGGGAAAATACATTTATGCACTCAAAATCTTTATTTTCAATTGCAATATTGCATCTAAGCTGAAAAATTTTGCAATTGAATCCCTAATTTTTTAATCCCATTGCCTCTAATTGTCTATATTGGACATTAAATCTAAGTTTAGTTATGTGAAACTACTAAAATACCCTTTCTATTATTTAAATACCCATTTTACCTTTCCTTAACTTCCCTCACTATGGTAGTACTGAAAAATGCCGATGCCTCCATCCCCTCTCTAGCTTCCTCACATTACAATGTCTCCACCCACCTCTCCATTATAGTTAGTTACAATCAACCTCTGCCCTATGATTTTCAGAAATTTCTTTTATTTGCTTCTTGTTCATCTTCCTTTTACTACCTTAACATTGTCATTTCTGACACCACTAGAATCCTAATGATGCCCAATAGGTTAAAAATGCCAACCCCTCCATCCCTTCTCTATCTCCCTCACAGTACAATGTCTCCACCCACCTTCTTCATCATAATTAGTTACAATCAACCTCTGCCCTATGATTTTCAGAATTTTCTTTTATTTGCTTCTTGTTCATCTTCCTTTTACTACCTTAACATTGTCACTTCTGACATCACTAGAATTCTAATCATGCCTAATAGGTGCCTTTCCTTTCTCAACCACTTAGTGGACTATAGTCTAACCAATTGCAGCTTGTTTACAGAATAAGTGTAAACAAGCCGAGCATTAGCATCATGATCAAGCTTGTTTATTTAACATTGAACTAGCCCAAGCTTTAATTAACCAAAAATAGTGATTTGGCCCAGCTTGTTTATTAAATGCTCTGAATCCAAACAGTATTATGGATTATAAATATAATATACACTCATATGCGCACAAAACATTAAATTAAATAAAAAATGGTAAAACTATGCATGTGAATGTGCATAAGATTTTATTTTATTATTATTATTTTTTTTGGGGTTCAATGGTGCCAGATTTGAACTCGTGAATTGGCAGGTGAAAACACTATGCTCTCACCAGCAAGTAACAAGTTCCAATGGGAGTCATAACAAAATTTTATAAAGATGCATATTATAATGTTTTAATAATGATGCATGAATATTTGTGTTTTATCAATAATCTTGGACAAAATGTTGGATGATCTATTGGTTCAGCTAGGTTTGGTTTATGTCCAGAAACTGATTAAACCAATTAGCAGCCAATTTTAATACGGATGTGATGTTTGTGCTAATGCTGGCATAATCTTTCTGTCATCAGATCAAACTGATAACCTACGTGCTACATTGGTAACATCGATTCCCCACATCCTCCTTTGGTATTCTTTTTAAAGATTAATCTGTAAAATTATGTTTGTTGCATTTAACCATTTATTTAGAAGTTGAGTTACATCAGCCAATGGTACAAGGGGAATCATCGTCCTTATATGAATTGCTTAGGAGGAAACTTAGCTGTTCCAGCTCAATGGTGAAGTTGATGCTTTGTTATGATGTTTCCTTTATAGCTAGATAAGCTGACTTCTAAACTCACTAATAGAAGGAAGCAGTTATGTTGTTTCCAATTGAACTCTAATGGCTTTGCAGTGATTTAGAAGCTATATTCCTCTTTAGTATGGCATATATTAATAGTTAAGTCTTATTTTCTAAATTGGAGCTTCACTAAATAATTTCACAACCTCATACTTGGGATGTTTTCCATCTGACAAGATAATGACTGGATGCTTTCTTTTGCAGGTTGCTGAGAGGGCCCTGTATTTGTGGAACAATGATCACATTGAGAATTTAATCCGACAAAACCGTAAAGTGATTCTGCCCATTATCTTCCCTGCCTTGGAGAAAAGTGGCTGTGCCCACTGGAATCAGGTCGTCCAGAGCTTGACACTAAATGTTCGCAAGATTTTCTCAGATGTCGATCCTGAGTTCTTCGAAGAGTGCTTGCACAAGTTTCAAGAGGACGAAGCAAAAGTCAAAGAGGGGAAAACAAAACACGAAGCTACGTGGAAGCGTTTAGAAGAGATTGCTGCTACAAAATCTGCAAGTAGTGAGGCAATTCTTGTCCCTACAGCTATAGCCACCCAAACATCTTAAAAGAAGCAAGTTCCATGGTTTCTTATTCTGTTATTTTTTCGGTTGGCATGCTGGCATTAATGGTTCATATGCTTCAGGACGCTAGATTCTGATCTGATAGTTGCTGCTTTTCTTCGCTGTTTGTACCTGGTAAGTTTAAGTTTCTGAGGTTTGAATGGATGTTCATGGGAGACAGAAGTACGTTATGCTATGGAGGGAATTTGCTAGTTGGTTTTGAATTTTAGCAATCCCATTCATGTATTACTATTGGGTTTATTAGGAGGAAGCAGATATAGTAGTTCTGAGATATTTTACATGCTCAGACTTCTTGTTATAATATTGCATTATTTAATCTGGTTTCACGTGTATGTATTACAATGACATTTCATTCGTTAATCATTGTAGAATTTGCTTTCCTTCTGTAATACGATCAATTCAAAATATTTTGGCTAGTTGATTTTTTTTCTCTCCCCTTTTTGTCCGTTGGAAAAGGCAAGCTCCTTGATCACTGACCAACAACACTCAGCATTAACCACCATATTGAGGCCACTTTGAACAAAATGACCAATATGTAGCATGTAATGTTTCATACGTAAAAATATCTTTCGAGAAAAAGAAAATTGAAAAAAGTATATATCTCTTTTTTTTAAAAAAAGTTTTCTTTTTTTTCATGTATCAAATACCAGAAGCACTCTGTAGCTTATTGGCAAAGAATTGAAAAGAAGAGTTTTCAGAGGGAAAGGCAGAGGAGGAAGAGGGAAATTGACTCTGAACTAATTCTTTTTTAAAAAATGGAAACAGAAATACAATTTTCAACAAGAAATCAATATCAACAAAGAGCTTCGTAATGCCACTCGTCATCCTCCATCTCCATATGATAAGAGAGACGATAATCTAAGGTACAGGGGATACTATTATTTATTTAACTTACCAGCAATCAAGTTAATGGCTTGTGTATGGAATTATTAAAAACATGTATTTATGACATCATATATTTTATTTTTTTAAAAAAACATCAACTATTTTATTAATAATAGTTGAATTGAATGGCAAAAACCAAGTTTAATAGTTTTTTCTCTTAAAAAAAAACTATGTTGAAAGAGTTTTAATTTTTACATGGTTGGATTTGACTCAATTCAAACCCAAGTAATAGAACTAAATACGAGATAGATATCGCGTTGATTACTTAATTTTTTTCCCCCAAATAATTGCATTCAACTATGCCTAACATAAGAATGATGATAATTATGTTAATGTTAAACTGCAACATGCGACTATAACTTTATCTTTTATATGATAGTAAATATAATTAAATTAATTTTATTTCTTTAAAATAAATTGAATTCGAGTTGAATGATCTATAAAATAAAGAATTTAGTAAAACCTTTATAGTTTATACACATAATTTTAAATTAAATTGTACATTTGTCATGTACTAATTATTAGAATTAAGATGTCGTGTACCTGTAATATTTTTGTTAATCTGAACTTCTACTTCAGCGAACACTCCACTGTGCCTTGATCACCTCAATTAAATTAATAGATTAGTACAAATGTGATTCTCCCATCTCCCGTGGACTATAGTATGACCAAGAATTTCTCATGCATGTTCATCTGACACGTGTAAGACGAACAGGCGTTTCCACATTTCTTCTCCCTCTTCCTACTGCAAGTGGAGCTTGTGGATAAGAAGTCATTGCTTCATATTTTGTCCCTTGTACTCTAATCCACATTGGCTACGTTTGCCCGAATTGTAGTGAGAAGAATTCAGCGAAATCTCGAGAAATTATGGAAGCGACTATGTCTTTGAACGCCTTTGTTCGTCTTCCTCCTTCCACGTCCAGGTTAAACGATGACGCTTTGGTCAGGCACTCTCTGTTCTCCACTCCGGCTGTCCACAGTCCTCAGCAGCGGTGTCGCCGCCGCATGCTGGTGGTTGAAGCGAAAGGCAAGAAGGGAATGATGGCTCGTCAGTTTCAGCGGCCTCCTCCTCCTCCATTGCCCAAGATTGAGGACGATGGCAACCCTAAATTTGTTATCTTCATTCGGATGGCCAATGTTCGTACTCTTCCAATTTATACTGGCCCTTTTTCTATTATTCTGTCCATTTTTTCTTTTGTTTTGGTTCAACAGAAAATCATGCTGGGGCAGGAAATTAATTGATCTATGTTTTTAGTTTCTTATCTAGAGGTGGCGGGAATTTGAAGTTTTCCCGACTACTTGAGCTTATTGTCTGATTGACAAGTGTCGAATATAAGCTTGAGGTCTTGTTTGGGTGTTCTGAAGAGAGTATGATGAGGTGGTATGAAGTGGGAAGGCATTGTCACTCCATTGTTTGAAGGTTAGATGGAAGAACGGCATGTGATCCATTCCTCGTCTTTTGGAAGTTACAATGGTGAATTAACTTGTGTTTGCTGGATGAAATTTTCGATTTTAACTTCACCAATACAGAAGGTAAAAGTAGTAGGATGATGAGAAGATTAATAACAAAGTAGTCAAATGATCCCAAGTTCTTCAATTTGGAAAGCTTTGAAAAATTGCGTTGAGTTTGAGTTTGAGCATATGGGTCTTCTTTTTCCATTCTCTGCATACTCTTTGCCATATGGTTGTAGCTTTTACTGAATCATCAGTCACTGCTTATTTCTTTTCTATCAGATATATTACAAACAAGAAAAGGTGTCATCGTCGACTTGATTATTGTAACCCTTGGATTTGTGCTTGATCTATCTTATGGCATTCGATCAGGGCTTCTATTTCAGCTGCTGATTAAATTGTGATCTTTTTTCTGCTTGCCCTCTCATTCATTGGAGTTCAATCTAATTTATCGTTCTCGTCAGGTGTATCTTTGGTACCCTCTTAGCATAGTAACTGGTGGAACCACTGCTAAAATCATGGTTGCTGCAAAAGATAATTTTTTGGGGAAATACATTTACAAAGATACCCTTGATAGGAATCTTGCAGCAGTTATTTACCGGGTAGGTTCTTTCTCATTTTGTCTGATATACTAGTTTTTTAATGACATTATTAACTCTGACTTAAAAACTTCAGAAAGTTGAATTCATTGGTGCCATGAAACTGGTTGTTTTTGTTGCTTGTTGAGCTTTTCATCTTAGACATAAAAAGAAGCCTTCTTGCAGTATCACAACTCACAAGTATCACCTATATATGAACATGGAAGACATGCATTTTCAGTTTGTCGTGGCAATCTGCATGCCTGAACTTGTTCAGTGAAACTTATTACTGAATGCGAGAAATGTACGAGTTCTACAACATTTTATTTCATTGTAAAGTTGATATGCTGCTAAATCTGTGCTCTTTGTGCAGTTCTTGCATTCATATCATTATGCATATGTTTTGGTTGGCTTTATTGCATTGTCTCAAAAAGCGTCTATTATGAATTTGGAAGGCATGGATTGTCAGTACCAATCTTCATTTATGGACTTCTTTAGTAAAATTATTGCTGAATCAATTGACAGAAGATGCATTAATTTCGTTTACTTACAAATTTCATTTGAGAGTTATTATGCTGCAGGGCTGATGCTTATTTGAGATCTTATAAAATCATCATAATGCTTTACTTCCTCTATCTTACTGACTGCTTGCTAAACTTCAAATAGGATGAAAAGGAAATACAGAAAACTGCATTCAAGCAGCACCGAGTGCTCCGCAATGCTACTGATTTCAGATATGGCTACAAACTTATTGTAATGTTCTTATAGGATTTTACAGATTCCATATTTAATCATTTGAGCAACGGAGATGTTTGCTTTCACACCAATGTGATAACCAAGAGACCTTTTTATTTATGTTAGTTTTTCATGCAATAAATTTGCAGGAAAATGGCAATATTAGAGCTGCACTCTCTTCTTCAGATGTTATTGAGGTAATATTCCTCAGATTTTTATCATGTTGTATTTTTGTTACATTTTTCCATAACCCTAATAAAAGTAATGAACAGAAGATGTTGCTTGCTAACATTCCCATCGAGGCAAATGTCCATTATCATTGATTCGTTATCACTAAAATGTGAACCTTAGAGGCTTTTAGTTTTGTGCATGCACATTTCAAAGTGTTTGCTCTTTAGTTAGATACCATTTTATGATATTCCCCCGTAATATTTTGCTGTGCTTGCATTTCCAAATTGAAGCTTCCTACAAAAGATAAGCTTAAAACTGTACTTGATAAAGTGAAAGACTTCTTTGGAGATGCAAAGGAGTCCTTTGGGAAGATAACAGCGTTGAATTCTACCACGACTGAGGAGTCAGAGGAAGATACAGCAGAGAAAGCTAAGTAAGTTATGTTTTAATTTAGTGCATGTTCGTGCTTACCATATAATGTATGTTCACGTGATGATAAGGATCTAGTCTCCATTGGATGACACCTGGTTCCTACTCTTACATTTCCAGATCATTGCATGTACGTACATTATATGATGCCTAAGTGTCTGTGTTCTCAGGAGGGAACTTTAGATTCCCTTTTCAATTTTGAAAATTTCCTTATGCCTGAATCATTTAATGACATGCTTTTGGGCCCTTTGTTCATACTGAGTCTGGGATAACAGATGAGCCACACATTTAGTGGTTTACACTTTACAAATAGCATGGCTTTCATATTATATTTTGTTATGAAGGTTTTATGTGACTGTTGTTTCAATGTCCAGCGTTAAAGGATGAATGTATAGCTGGAAACAATTGCTTGACTTGTTATCTGCAGCAATTAGCCCTTCTGAGGTCATGAAGCTTCATCTGGTGTATATAAATAGACTGCTTTACTGGGAAGCTGCTATACCCAACATCTTCTCTATGAACACCAGCTTCTTGACGCTGATCAGAAATTCTATGGTTGGGGGAACTGTTGTACAAAATTACTGAGTTGTGAAATTCCATGCGTTTTGTTTGACACGAATTTGTTAAATTTATTTGAAGACTTGTTATCAACCTGACCATGCATTGGAATTTTGGTTCACTCAGTAGAACTTTGAATCTGCTCATGCGATAACATTATCATGTAAGACTTCTGTTTACAATGAGAAAAGGCTATTTGAAATTTTTTTACAAGCACATGTAGAACTAGCAGTGGCCTCAGCATATACACTATAATTTAGGGCAAACATGACCACAGCTACCTCAAAATTGGTAATTAAGTATTTTTGCTTCTCAACTTCTGGTATTTTACATTTTTTTTTTTTTTGTGATGCAGTATTCTCCTCAAATAATTAGAAACAATACAATGTTGCTTTCACTATTAACAAATCTTAACTTTTATGATCACAAAAATTATAAAAAGATCTAGAAAATTATCAAAAAATCCAAAAATTATCTTATACCTTATAAGAAAACAAATGTCTATTGAGTTCCCTAGATTATGAATAAATATTACTCCCTCCGTTAAAAATATAAAGTATTTTTAATCAAATTTACTCCTTAATAAAGTAATTATCTAGTTTTTAAATAACCTTATTTTTTTCATATTTATTCTTATTAAACACCTTACAATAAATATAAAGTCATTATCAATAGGGACACTTTGAAAAAAAAAAGAAGACAATGATTACACCTTGAAAGATTAAAAATGTTTTACATTTTTTAACATTTAATTTCTCAAAAAATGCCTTATATTTTTTAATGGAGTAAGAGACAACTATTATTTCTTACATGTATAAAAAATTCAAGATATCACTTTGACCAATCACTTTGATTGGCTGTGGAGTGATTATTGAATCACCATTTTTTGCAAACCTGGTAAGTAAGGAATATAATATATATTTGTTTCAAAAATGTCTCGCTAAAATACTAATACTTTAATATTTAATAATTTAATAATATTATTTTATAAGTCTTCCCCTGAAATTTATGAATCCCTAAAAAAATTAACAGTTCAACTAATATATTAGAGTTTTATACGTAAACGTGCTTTTTCACATTAACTAAGTTATAAATTTAAATAGTGTGATAAATTATGTTACTTCAAAAATTTACAACCCAACTAATGTGTTCAAGATTAAATAAATATATTTTTATAGTAATTGAATTATAAATTAAAATAGTGTAATAATTTATGAGGCTTTTTGTGAAATTTTGAAGTCATCCTTCATATATTTATAATTAGTATGAAAAAGAAATTCACTCATAAATCAAGCATATCTACAAATAGTTGAAAATGCAAAAATGTCCTTTAACTTTATTTTTAGCCCTTCAATTTTTTTCTCATTCATTCACTTTACAATACAATAGTATGGGTGTTCAATTTATATCTATTTTGATTGGCCTAATATCATCTCAATTATATATAGTGGGTCTCATCCTAACTCAAAAGCAATTGAAATGGAACTTTGTGAGACGGAATGGAAAAAGGGTTTGGAATGCGATGAGATATGGGACTATCATTAGAATGTCATGTCGCTTCCCAAATCTCTCTCTCTCTCACAAAATTTTTATAATTTTTTATTTTAAAAATATACATTAATATATTAATTATATTAATATAATTTATATTTATATTAATTGTATCAATTATAATTTCAATACTTGTAATTATTATATAAAATTAAAGTTTTTTATAGTTAAACAATTTTAATGACATAGAATAAATTGGGTGATATCATTCTTTGTAATATATTAATTATATTAATATAATTTTTTCTTATATCTATCTATTTAATAAATTTATTATATCGCATTTCTTACTTTATTTTTGAAAGAGTAATTAATTTAACACATCTCAATTAAAGTAAAATAATAATAATTTAATGTTATGCTTGATTTGTTTGTTGTTGCTGTTTTTATACTCTAAAGATAACTTGTAATTGCTATCATGATATGTGTAACTATAATTAGTATAATTCAATAATTAATTTTAAATTGTGTGTATTTATGTACTTATGTTTTTTAATTTTAAAAATTAATAAATCATATGATTTAAAATTTTAATAAATATTATTATTCAAATCTTTCTCTAACATTATCTGATTTATCAGAATGATGATTTTTCATCCCAATTTCGAACGGAACGGGATGGGACGGGATACAAAATAAAAATTTAATCTCAATCTTTTTTTGAGGCAAGACATGGGATAAAGATATCTCGATTCCGTCCCGTGAACACCACTATAATATAATATGAAAATACTTGAAGTTTTTTTTATTTAAAGTCATAATAAATTGCAATTTTGCAAGCAAAGTTTAAATTTTAAATCATAACTTTTTGAAAAAAAATTGTATATTTAAAATAAAAATTTTAAGCATAAATATCTCCAAAACAGAATCTTCAAATACATACTTTAGGATTGAGAACACCTTGCCAAGCTAACTACTACATTCTATGATAGTTCCCCCTGTATGGTCATTTAAGCGACACATTGCTGGATTGACACTGCCGAACAAAGTTTATAATACACCGGAACCCTCCAAGCTAACCCAAATATCTGCTGATTTCAGTAATTTTGAATGTGTTTGATTGTCAACTAGAAATTGAATAATCTCTTCTCTTCTTCCTTTTTTTTTTTTCCCTGAGATATATATAATATACGTTAAACAATAAAAGTTCTCAATGTAAGTGCTTGTGCGTGCATTGCAGACTGAAACCAATAAAGAAACAAAACCAAGGGACACATAAGCAAGGGATACAAATAAAGCAAGCAACACATAAATGATCAAACATGAGAAGAGAAGTTGATTGCGAAAGGATACACTGCAAAAAGCATCTGTTCTTTGTCTAATTGTCTCAGTATTCTCTGAGGACCATAGTTCTGAATAATGCAGAATAAGCTCACCCATCTACAAGCATTTAGCATTTAGCAATGATACTAAAAATGGAGTTACCACGATGCCAAAAGACATCAACAACCATTCCAAAACTCGGAATCTCGAATCAGAATATCAACACATACTTCTCTGCATGCAAATTCCTAGGAAGAATGAGATTCAGATAGTTTTAGGCATTCACTCTGGCACCTCCGAAGGCATATGTCATTCCAATTAGGTACTTTGATGTTGGTTAACACACACAGTACGAGCACAGGCATCAGCACATGCATCAAGCTCAGAGACACCACAGACAGTAACACAAGTATCAGGAATGGGGTCTTTCGAGAACGAGCCGACCTTCTTCAGCATCCTCTTTGACGTGCAAACCCGCCACACACACAAAAATGTCATCAGAACTCTTCTCCCCTTCCCCTTGCACTTTTTCAGCCTCTGCTCTTCAGCATGCCTTTTCTTCCACTCTAAAAGCTTGTCCTGCAATGACAGCCGGGATTGCAGCCCCCCAACAGAGACCACCACACCTCCACCATTACTAATATGCAAGTTGAGCTGCTCTTTCACACTATTGCATATGCTGTACACTTCCAACAAAACAACAATGAAAAACCTATGAAGTTTCCAGGTGACTTGTTAATTCAGATTATCCACACACAGTGATAAAAGAAAAATTATAAACACGAGGAATTCACTGCCAAAATCTTTCATGCATCATTATTTCAAATCTAAAGCAATATAAATTACTCAAGGTTTTTTTGGGGGGGGGCATATCAGGAAAAGCCCACACCTGATATCTCATTTTATCAGAGCATAAATGTTTGGAACTCAGCTCTTGAAGCCAAATTAGGCCAAAATAAAAGCACTTGAAACAAAGGTATTTAATGCTATAGACTTTTTACAAAGTGTTTCAAATGAACAAACAATCGCTGGTAGAAAATAGCATATATTTTGGACTGGAGGGAGTATACTATAGGTACAGTGAAGAATATACTAGGAAGTAAGAAATAAGAAGAGAAAGTTCATCACTAACAATAATGGTAACATTGAAATACGCCTTCAGCAAATACGAAATACGTTACAGTTAAATGCATCAGAATACAAATAAAATGTAACCTATCCTTTTGAGAAAATGATGAAAAACTCACGATATCCAATCAAAGATTGATCACAATTCCTCATGCTCGCTTATACAAACTAGGCTGCTTTTTATAGGCTCTACTTACCCACCACCGTCACCAGACCTTTCTTAATATTCCTAT